CAAAATTAGAAACGTTCATATGACGATCTGGTAATCAAAAGAGAAACTTTGAATTTTCAATGTAAGTTTGAATGTTATTTAATGTAGGTTGACATGATAATTGAATTGAAAATTCTGATAAACAAAAACATTATAATACTTCTACCTAAAATCAGGCATATCTTAATATGTGGATTAGCCACAGTTTTAACACTTTCGCTGAAAACACTTTCTTGAATTTAATGAAAGAAATACATGGGATTTCAAACAAAAAGCAAATAGTTATTAATGAAAGATATTTGGTCTTCGTCACTTTAGTCCCCATTTATTTTCCTGTGTCAGGTTTTAATATTTTAATTTTCCTGTGTCATGGCTCCATTGCATTTGACTGCTGTCTCTAGTAGTCTTGTGTTGCTTCATAAGTTTTATTATTTTTATTCCCTCTCATACCATTGCATTCTGTAAGGACCACATTTTATGATGCAACTATCATTTTGATAATATATTTTCAATACTACCAATATTTCAAATGTATTGATAGTTGAAAGGAAATATCAAAAACTATGTTTTTATGTAACAGTCATTTGTCAAGCACAATTTGCACCAGTTATTTCAAAGGAGACACGAGCTTTGGTCCTGAATGTTCCTACCTGAACACCCTCGAGTTTTGTTACGTATATCTTACTGCAGTCAATTGATATCTTCATTTCTACTTACCAAATGTTGCATCTAAATGTCTTTATTCAAGGCACTATCTGACTGATGATTGGCGGCTTCTCTTCCTTAAAAACAATGTCATAAGCAGATATTTGCTGACTGGCTTTCTGTTGTTGTGACACCTGTTGGTTCCACTTATTTCAACATTCTGCTGTACATCTCAATATTTCAAAATTTCATAAAAGATTCTAATTGTTATAAATGGTAATTGTTTCATGTTCAAATTGAGGATAAATGTTTATTTTGCATGTAAGATCGAAATATATTTTACAGAGTGAATTCAAGATGTAATATTTTCAAGAGTGGCCAAAATTAAGAACTTGTGTTTGCGAGTGACATATTATTTGATCTTACATACAAAAGAAACAACTTTTCTATTACTTCATGATTTTTAGGGTTTTTAAAGTTTATGATTTAGCCGCGTAACGACATGTTTGTTGGTTGTGAAGCGTTTGTAAATGAAAATATAAATCAATCGAATAACTTTAACATCACAGTTGATATATTTTGGTTTGTCGAGAAGAACGAACGTAAATTCTTTGCAATGGTAACATGGTTTTCCATGTGTTTAAAAATCAACCGATGGGTAATCAAAGAAAATATTTCGCGTGTACCCTAATGGATTATATACATACGCTCTCATTAATGACGTTATCAACTTATGACGTCACATTATTCTTATTGAAAAGTAATTTAGTACAAATTTATAAATTTTACGGATAACTTTGACTTTACGGTTGATATATGTTTGTTTGGCGAGAAAAACGATCATAAATTCTTTGAAATGTTAATATGCTTTTCTATGTGCTTAAAAATCAACCGATGGGTAATCAGAAAAGATGTTTCGCGTTTACTTCTAATGTTAAAGTTTATATACATACGCTCACATTCATGACGTCGTCAAATAATGACGGCACATTATACTTATTAAAAAAATAATTCAGTAGAAATTTACGAATTTTGAAACATTTCTTTAAGAAAAATGATATGATATTCGTAATGTTTTACAGAATTATTTTTCAACAAGAACAATGTGACGTCATAATTTGAGAGCGCATGTCGTAATGCGGCAAAAATCAGTAAGAATGACTGAAAACCCATAAAAAAGCACAAAATTAATATAAAAAAATATATTTGTTTTGTGTATAAGATCTTTGCGCTCGTGACGTTAAATATTACCTATGGTTTTCACTCTGTGAAATATATTTCGATCTTACATGCTAAACAAACAAATGTCATGTATATACATATACTCACAACAATGTTAATGTTAACCTCTAAACCAATGATTTATATTAATGATATTTTATTTTAAATAACTGAAACGACTTGCACGTTGGTGGTGACATAGGAAATTTCTAATGTCTTTACCCAATACAGCTTGCTTACTTATTATCATTAAAAAATGGACAAGTTGTGAATTGTGAAAGAAAACATAAGTTCATTGCTCTCTTAGACTTCGTGAATGTAAATTATTCAAATGTGCTCTTTTAAATAAAACACCCAAACCCATCAATCTTTCCTAGGACTTTTTTATCATTTACATATTTAATTAAACAATTAAAGCTTGACTTAACGTATCTAGATATATTTGTTACCATTTATTTGGAATGCCAGACGATAAAAACTCTAAAAGTGATAGCGTTCCCGTCTAAAATGTCACAGCATTTCATCAATTTACTTCATTAAGTAACGACACGCTTGCAATTTTGTTTTGTTTGGTTTTACGGCGCTCTAACACAATTTAGGTCACATGACGCCAACACAGAAAAGATGATTATTGCTTACTTCAGGTGTTACAAACTTAAAGCAACACTGGGGGTCAAACCACTCTCTTGCTGGAGCTAACAGATGCATAGACTCCAGTAGTTCAAACAAATTTAGTCGCCTCTTACGATCACGCAGTGATAAATGGTGGTTGCAATTCTGATGCCTCAATCTTCAAAATTCAACCCCTCAGGCACAAGGAGAGGGGATGGCGTTTGTTAATGAAAATATAAAAGAATCGAATAACTTTGACTTTACGGTTGATATATGTTTTTCTTTTGTCGAGAAGGACGAAAGTAAATTTTTTGCAATGCTAATATGGTTTTATATGACTTAAAAAAATCAACCGATGGGTGATCAAACAAAATGTGTCGTGTATTCTTCTAATGTTAGGGATTGTTATTAGAGCAAAACGTTATTTTGTTGATTTCTCGGTTAGACTGTTTAATATTTCACTTCTCGTTTTGTAGCTTTAACTGGAAATTAGCTAAAGATCGTCTCAAAATCTGTTGATTATTGTAACGCATGCATATTACTTTAACATATACGTGGATATAAGAAATTTTAAATCATTGATCAATGTTCACCAAACACTATGAATACAAATTCCCAATCATTAGGAGGTTAAACATTATAAAATTATAATCTTTCATAAGCTAAACAATAAAAAAGAAAATAAACAGCAAAATTGAAAAAAGTATGCTCGGTTTGATTAGGCACAGGCTTTTACACAATATATAATTTGAGTTTTAAACATAAAGAGACATCCGCAGGTGTGTTCATACGGCGGTGGTCATGGAACCTACAATATGATACTTTCGCGCAATTCAGAAAACAACCGCGCATGGCTCTAGAATAAAAGAATGCATGAGCCCCATGAGCCCTAAACGAGAGATGGGTATTATATAGTCGAGGTCATAAAATGACACTTCTTTTACTTTAGATACTTACAGATGTCTATTGCTAATCCCATTGATATGTCGGCCAATAAACAGTTGTTTAAAATATACTTCGATTCAGAAGACAGACAACTTATCTTGATATAAGAGACAAAAATTGGATACCTGATACCTTATCTGTTTTCTTTTTTGTCTGGGCCAAGTTAATCTTCTCTTTCTTCTCATAATATACAATTGCGCCTACTATTCTATAGTCAAACAACTGTCTGTTATTGAGTGTTTTCCGAAAATTTTTCATAATATTCAAATGTGAATAATAAACATCAAAGAAAGATGTTTCGCATAAACTAGTTTGACAGGAGTAGATATTTTTCGGGACACAACTAATACAAAACACAACATGTGCAAGTATTGTGGTCTTGATGGACAAATGGGAAGTGACGGAATGACCGAGTGGTTAAGGTATGACTCACCTCACCCCTTATGGACACCATATAAGGACTTTTAAAATTAAAACAATTAGGTCAGTTTTGTTCCATAAAGGGCACATGTAAGCAAAAACTAAACAAATTTACCGTACTGAACATTAAAGCTCGGATATTATAAGGGCTCTTTTTCAGAAATGAGGAAACGCTAAATAATCTATGATATTCTTCTTATGAAAAATGTTTACCTTACTGTTGATTATTGCTTAGAAACAAATAAAAGCCTTAAGCTTTTGTAGGGAGGTTATGCCTTAACTCGGACTTATAATCTAAGGGCCGTGACTTCCTTGAGCAACAAACTCTCCACTCATTGCTCAGTGCCTGTTTGTTAGGCTATCAGCTTGTTACTTCTTACAGAATCGAACAAAAACAAAACTATAAAATAAACGCATGAACAAATCATATTTGCCAATCAAAATTTGTTATCCTTCGGAATAATAATGATGTCTCCTGCATGACAGGAACTGAATTGCATCATATGTTTTTATTTAACTATTGTTTTGCAAGTATTTATAAGTTTTATTTTGCAATATAAATAGGTAGTTCGTTTGGGTTACATAAGATTTACAACAGTGAATTACCTATAACAAAACAAACAATTCCTAATTATATACCACCGTAATGAAGATACTACACATTTTTGACTAGTATAGCGTTATAAAACGTATTTGCGAAAATGTAACCTTTACCTTCCGTTGATTTCATGTTTATTCCCAAAGTAGATGTGACCCAAAGATTGTAACAAATTTATCGCATAATACAGTATGTCACATGATCTAGGTCAAGAACGACTCTAGGACATCGCTTTTTCCAAAACAGTGCTAAGTAAAGAAAAATTGAAATCTGAATTCTACCGCGAACATGATTATGTTTCTGAGCAAGTGTGTGTCACGTGACGTTTGCTGCCAAAGTGAAATTTAATATTCAGGGTATGGAACATATGCAGGAGGCACATTAACTTCGTTTTAATTGTGTGTGCGTTTTGCATAAATTGCGCATGACGTAACTTTCTGTTATCGCATGCTTTGTAATTATATGTTCTTGAAATACTTATGTTTAGTGCCAATTCGGACTGAGAAATGGGATCTTTTTTGAAAGTACCTGCGCTGCACTCCTAGGGATATATGAATGCACAATAAAAGTCAACAATAAATATGTATAGACATTTTTATTCATTTAAGATTTCTTGAGAGATGACAGTAAAATATACTTTAAGAATGTAATAAATGTACTTTACAGTCATATGATATATTGGCCCTACATATAAAACAGGTGAATATTTAAAAATAGTAATTTAGAAATTTTGAAGCATAAGATATCTTTTTCAATCGTTTTAATACATCGAATGACGTATTAAAGTAAATCATTTCAGGTTGTGATTTCTCAAAGGTTCCCCATGTAAAAACCGGTTTTGCAGCAAAACTCGTTTTATTGCAAAACCGATTGTGACAGCCATCAAGTATGTGTTACTTTTCCCGTTCTGTTTTATTCTGCAAACAATCACTTGAAGTATAACATTTGCAATTTTAGAAATGACAATGTTAAATACAATTGTATACTTATAGTATATATGAGTAGTATTATGCATTTCTATGATGGAGATATACATTTTTCAAAAAAGGACATAGTTCTTTCAATTTACTTTGTCACTCGTATATGTTAATGATATATGTTCCTATCATGGTAACAAGGAACGCTGATTAAAATGACATGAACTCAAAACATCAAAATTACCTTTACACAATGCAATATCTTTTCTTATGAATGAATAACAATTCTAAGATTATAAATTTTTAGATAAATATAAAACATATATATCAAAACAACAACAACTTTAATTATGTTTACTTTCTTAATACTGGTGTACACATAAAAATCCAATATGTTTTTCTTTCAAACATTGTAAAAAGATTGACGTGACTCTATATTCTAAAACAGGTATAATATAATGTGTATATAGGGAAAGATAGAGAAAAATGTATTTTCAAAAATAAAAGTAAAATATAGCAGTATATCTCATAACATATTAGACTCGCCTATATACATAACACCATCGTCAGAATGGGCTTTTATTGAACTTGTCCTTGTAAACAAAGACGAATCGTCACGTTTAACTATCACATCCATCATCGAACTCGCGTCTTTATGTGCCTTGTAACGGAGATTTCCATTCTGACCTACGTTACTGCAAACTTCAGTTATCCCGGACACGTTACGCGATAGCACAAAACTTCGATTGTTTAAGATTATAGATCCGTTTGAAGTACGCCGAGCATTTTGATACAACATTTTGTTGTCATCGTCATCGTCAGATTCATAAATGCCAACGTCACTTGCAGACGTTTGCGGTTTATTTGGATCTATACGTCCACTTCGAGACCGCACATGTGTGTAGAATAGTGTGAAGTTGTTTGATATTACCGGAAATGTAAGAGCAACTAGAAGAACGCCACTCACTGCGCATGACGCACCAACAACATAACCAATTGACGTCGTGGGGTAAATATCACCGTACCCTAACGTTGTCATAGTGATAATAGCCCACCAAAACCCTATCGGAATGGTTGTAAATTGATCACTTGGATTAACGGCATCTTTTCTTTCTGCATAGTATATCATAGTAGCAAACACTAACATTCCGATTAGTAGAAATATTCCTAACATGAGCAACTCCTGTATACTGGCTTTAAGGGCGTACACCAAAATCTGCAAAGCCTGGTAATGCTTAACAAGATGGAATATACGAAACATTCTGATGATACGTAATATAAACATGATCTCTATCATGAGTCTTTCATTGACAAAACAAAATTTAAAACTCTCCATGTTGAGAATAAGCTGCATGTATAGAGGCACTAAAGCAAGAAGGTCAATTATGTTCATTGCTGATCTTACGAACCGCAGTTTGTTCAACGCAAAGGTGAACCGTACAATAAGCTCTATCGTGAAATAAATTGTACAGATCGTGTCTAATGTTTGAAGTGAAGGGTTTGGAGTCAACAAATATTTTACACTCGTATCTCCTTCACACCCACCTTTGCTCGCATTCGCTTCTGTTTTATTTATAGGCTGAACCTTTGGCTTTAGCTTTGGAAGCGTCTCCAAGCAGAAACCTGATATTGACGCCACGACAAACAGCAACGATATTACACCATACACCTAAAAATAGGTAACAGAAATAACAATTAATATAACAATCAAGTAAATGTATTATTACATAAATAAGTCACAGGTGTATGCAGCTAAAAACATTACAGTGAAAAGCTATGAAAAAAAAACAACTACTTTCTGGAATTCATTGCAAAAAGGACAACATTTCGCATTGGTATAGCTTAACGTCGATAGGTCACGTGCGCTCTTCTTTTTACAACCATAACACTTGTACTAATACATGTAAACTGACATCTTGGCAATGTATTTTTTAGTATTTAAGAACACCTGATTTAAAAGGTATAAAACTATATATATATATGCTGTCTGTAGTATACAAAATCATTCCAAAATATATGTATAGAAACATGGAACACATAATTGTTCCTTATCAGTTAAAACGGATTTTATCGTAGTAGCATAATAGTTTGTTCTTGTATTCGTACAATATTTATTTGTGTTAAATAACATAGACATTCTTTGTTATTACTTTTTGAGAATCGACCATAAGGTTATGGCAAAAATATAATTCAACTGTTATAATGTTTGTGAACATGTTTCATTAAATATAGTTATACAGCAATACCATGTAACAGAGTAATTGACACATTTCATCCAGATACATCTAAAGGTGCCCATGCAACATTTCTAAGTAAATAGTAATGCGGATACGCACAGAGTAAAGTGTATTATTGATCACCAAGATATTTCCCTCAACAAAGGATCGAGTACACAAAGCAATTAATAATTTAGACCATGTAAGTTCTTTTTATTTTGCATATTGTCTGAAGAGTTTACAGCTCAATCACAGAAAAACGTATTGTTTGATAGTATTTTAAAAACAGTCACCCACTAATAAAGAACTGACAAAGCCAAAAAGGGGCAAAGAATGAAAAATATTTACTAAAAAAGAGAGTTCTTACACTTTGCTTGATTAAAAAATTCATAATTGAAATATATAAACAGTTTTAGGTCAGAGTGACTTTCTAAGTTTTTTTGTCATTTTAAGGGCAGCGCTAACTCAAATATGTGACAAGTGTGACAAGCAACACAACATTTGATTGTTACTGTAATCACTGTCAGTGCGCAAAGTTTGTTGGCTATTCTTTGAGACAAGTTTTATTCTATAGTTGCTTATGCGAAACGATAGATTATTTTTAGAATAAAATTTCTTTTCTTTCAGTTATCACTCTTATTTTAAGAAAACTTATGGGACAATAGTAAAATGTCAGTTGAAAATAATTGTTTCAAATTTTGCACAATGGCTGAAAATAAAGTAACTATCAATTATTTGAATTTAAATAAGGGTTCAAACTGCTTCAATTTGAGTGACCGGCTTTTATAAAAATACTTAAGAGGGAAAAACCAACTTAAAATGACAGATATCTCAAAAAAAGCAGTAGGGTGACCACATATGTGTTCCAATTTTCATTTATCTTATTATGTAAGTGTAAGAACTTTCTATGTGCTTGTTATGCTTGCTATGTGCTTTTTTAAATTTTGCTTTTAACTATTTAACTGAATTTATAATTGAAAGTCAATAAAAGACGTAAGCTAACATTCCAACAAGTTTCTGTATTGACGTATTATGTTATTCTGATTAAATATTCAGTACCAATAAAATTTATACTGGCAATTAATACATATATCATTTCGCCGTGCTACACGTGATTAGAGCGTGTTTTTCGTCTTTGGCCGCGCATGGTTGATTTTATTTTTTTTAATGATTTCGAGTTTTTGGTATGAGAGAAATTAAACTCAGAACAATGTGTAAGTAAGTATAAGTTATGATCAAAACTTCAAAAAAAAAAGTTATTTGATGCTCAATTAGGAATTTGACTGTATATTTTTAATACACATTTAATGCATTATATCGGATATTAATTAATATTACGTATTTATCATCCTTCAAACAACAATGACTTCTGTCCAAGATTTGAAACAGCTTCATTATTAAAGATTTGAAATAAAAACATAATATGAAATAAATAAAATAAAATAGATTAAATTAAAAGAAGATTTTCCATAAATGAGCCGCGTCATGACAAAACCAACATAATGCGTTTGCGACCAGCATGGATCCAGACCAGGCTGCGCATCCGCGCAGTCTGATCAGGATCCATGCTGTTCGCTATCAGTTTCTCTACTTGTAATAGAGTTGGTAAGCGAACAGCATGGATCCTGACCAGGGTGCGCGGATGCGCAGGCTGGTCTGGATCCATACTGGTCACAAACGCACTATGTTGGTTTTGTGGTTTTGTCGTGACGCGGCTCAAATACATTTTCAGGTTATGGCACTATCATCAGAGCTATATAAAGATACTAGACTAAATGGGGCTGGGTTTTATTTGTTTCTTTGTTTATTGATACTTAAATGACCCTGTTAATCGATATTGGCTATAATGTGTTGTTTTTTTTTCGATTTAATCAGTTAATGATTGGTATTAGTCTAGACATATTGATTAGACGTTTCACGAGGTAATGTCATTTCTTTTGTGTGTAAAAGTAAAATATTTTTTTCTAAATAAAACTTTGTTGTTGATTTTTTTCTAATTATATTGTTATGTTACCTTACCGACAATATAAATGACATTGTGTAACATATCTGGTTCCAGCGAGGACAGATCGACTCATAGATCAACATCGAGAATTGTGAACGAGTGGACAAATAAGTACATGTGAAAAATAGCCAATATGGTTACTCTTTTAAACGTTTGACATATCCAACTAGAAAAAACTCTATTCTTAACTAGTATCTATTCGAATATATGAAAATAAACATCTTAATGTCACCCATTATGGTTATAAAATGTCTACCTATATTGATTCTCAGCTGCATGCCAGATATAAACATTTAATAACCTTTTCCAATCTCCTTGAATTTATAGGTCATTTGTTCGTAATATTTCCATTAATTGACAATATCTCATACAATACAGTTCAGCTTTCTGAGAGAAGTTAGCAAGTGGGCGATAAATTAAAATTTTCTAGGTCGCACTTTTAAGGAAAGGCTCATTATCTCGGTAATATGAGATGTGAAAGTTAATAACAGACCTCAGTAAACACATTTATATTGGTACAAATGACAAAAAGAATAAAGCTGAATTTTATACCAAGAAAGGTGTCATATAGAATTTCATACTGATAGTAATATTTTACACCTTTGTATTATTTGATGGTTGAAAGTAAAATTTAAAAAAAAAACACTATTTTATTTTTAATTATAATAGTAATAAAGGAATATTTAAAGAATTTAACACAATGTGTAGTGAAATGAACTGCTACCTGTGAATATGAATTTAAGAGTATTATCTGTCATCGGTTTTTCATAAAAAAAGTTAAATAAAATAGCACGCATGCAAAAAAATTATCATTTCAATGAATTATTACTAAACTGATGGTTTCATCAAAAATTTATATATTCAGGAAACTTATTACTTGTTGTTTATGAATCTTGTACAATTTTATTGTCCTGATAAAAAAAAGAGTCGGCGCCGTCGGATTCAACATGTGAAAAGCTTTCCAGCTAGATTATGGAACATCGGTGGTTCACTCTGGTGCCCGTTGATGTCTAAGGGCACCGGAAGTCTTCCTCCATAGATAAAACTGGAAAGTCGCCATACGACCCATATTCTGTAGGTGCAATGTACTACCCAACCATGAAAAAAAATTCATTTCAATATATTTGATATAAGATAAATCAACAATATGTCAAACACCGCGAGGCCATAAGATAATGTTTACAATTTATATATCTCTATAAATGATATGTTTATTACGTCTATGTTTTTTATAAGGAAATGAAAATGCTGGCATATCAAGTAAGCATGTTTACTGTCTGAGGAAGACGTATTATCATATTCTGAGACCCTTGATTCAAAGGGTATAACGCCATATTTTATGAAATATCTGTATGAAATTTATCATAAGAAAAATATATTATTTCAATAATCTTATTGTTAACTCTTGAAATAATTGTTAGATACAGCGTTTCTTATATTTCTGTCACATGGATATTGTATTTAAACAAATCTAAAATTGTATGCTGCTATTTTAAGAAGGATTTTTTAAACTGTTTAGCAATTATTTCGTGCATGCCTCGTTCGTTTTTAAGGCAATATTTATATATCTTTAGTTTAATTTGAAATTTCATCATCATTATCATCACCCCCAACAAAACCACCACCAATATTATCATTCACACCACCACCATTATCAGCAACAAAACCACTACCACTATCAACAACACCATCAATATAACCACCAAAACCACCACCACTACCAACATCATCAATAATAGCCCTGTGACCCCTGTCAAAAAATTTTAAGAAGAAAAGGTTATAATTCATGACTGGCTTTGTTGTATATACAAGATTTAAGATTTGACTGATAAAATGAATACTTTTAAGACGTTATATATGTATTTAATAATTAATTAATTAATTAATTAATTAATTAATTAATTAATTTATTTATTTATTTATTTATTTATTTATTTATTTATTTATTTATTCATCATTTGCTGTGAGGTCAAGAAAAAATCAGCTAACATTGTCTAAACAAATTATACTTTGTAACAACTTACATTTATGGCCAGTTATGTGTTGACGTGCCGTAAAAATCCAAACAAACAAACAAACAATTTATCATTAATAACTGTTTAATAAACATCATAATTATATAACAGTTAATCCGAAAAATGTCACATTGACACCCCTTATCTTAATTATTACATTGACATTAGTATAACGCTGGCATTTGGCGCGTCTTAACGCTATGTTTATATAACGCATTTCACGTCACGTCAAAATATATGCACGGTTGTTTGGTGCACATGTACCCAACCGTCCAATATGAAAATAATATATATTTTTTGGATCCAATATGGGAATATATTGGACGGTCACGAGGTACAAATGCAGATTGTGGATTTGTTAGATTTATTAAATATATAATAAACTGCAATATTTATATCATACTATTCTTATTTTAAGTTCAAGCAATACCTTTTGCAGCATATATACAGCTTTATAATACTGCACGTTTGTAACGTCATTATTCATTAGATAATCGTGACGTTTATATAGTTTAATATACACGGCTGCTGTCGATTCATGAAGAAATGTTACTTTTTTCTCTTAAATGATGTTTGCTGTATTATAAATTCGTTATAAAGATTGTTGACAGGTTATATGGCCGTATATAAACGGCTGTTTGCAATATAACCCTCGCCTTACGGCTCGGGTTATATTTACAAATAGCCGTTTATACAGGGTCATATGTTTTGTCCTACATCGTACTGTAATAAGTTTGTGTTTATAAAATTGAATGCTATTACAATATCAATATTTTTGGAAACACATGCGTTATAATATAATTATGACCAAAATTCAATCATTTTGCTAGAGGCTTATATTCAAAATAATAGGTATAGACATGTATAACCTTAAATGTATTGTTTTGTAGTTGTATCATTATAGTGAGTACTCATCTGTAAGTGTTAACGTGCTCGTAATACATTTTATAGATCAACAAAAAAGAAAAAAATATTGCAATGCCATTTCAAGCCTTTTGAGTTCTTAGTTAATTACCAAAGTAATTTCAATTATTCATCTGTAATAAGTTTACGTATAAATAACCTATTGAATAAATTCGTTTCAAATATATTTTCATACATGAAATGAAGTTCATTTTATACTAGTCAGAGTAAACTGATGATTCTTTAGCAGTCTAGTTTTCCAAATTAACTTGTTTTCATCAAGCAAATTTTGTATATAACACTTGTCTAGACATTGTGAATGATCTTGAATAGCACAAACAAACTTCTTTTCAGTACTGGCTTTGTTATACTAGTTGTAGTACAGATATACCTAAATCTAAATAACTTTAATAGTTAAAAGACTAGCATATATGTTGCCATTTGATATTTTCTAAAATAAAAGGAATGTAATTCGAAAGCCAATAAGCTAAAATCATACAGTTATATGAAAGCATGACCAATAACCCCTAGTACCCGCAAAAGGTAGGTTATGTGTATAGTTGATCTACCGGTTTAAAACTATGTTAATCAATATAAAACACTGAAGCTTTAATACATTTGCCTATTATTTCAACACTTTTTCCATCCAGATCAATTCATTAGTTGAAACAACCATGTAATTATGATTTAGAAGTGATGATGTTCCACATATCAATCATCACATGTATAGTCTGATCTAATTGACATGTACTTTACGTGGATTGTAAGTGAGAATGTTCAAGGTATATATTTCCCAATTAATCTGTCAGTATAAATGTGTTTCAGTACTGATAACAATTCTATCAAACAAACTGAACTACAAATGGTCAATCGATCGTGTTCACGCTATTTTTAAGTTGCAGCTAAGCATAAAGAATGTATGTAAATAATTCATTTTCCTATCCTTTGATCTCATTGTTTGCTACTTATGTATCATCAACATATGTATTTGGTCAGTCATAAACAATTAAATTTATCTATATGTTGATTTTTAATTCGGATTCAATGACGTTTCCAGGATTTGGTAAATATTTTACAACGGCAAAGTAAGCTTTTGCTTTAATTTGTAAGTCACCTTAAAAAAAGTGGTGAGACAACCCACTAACATTCAGGAGCATAGAACTCAAAAAGTTGGATGCTGATCCTTTTTTTTTCTTCATTTCTTAGTTTCAACTATTCTCTTTAATCATGTTACGTTTAAGAAAGTTTTTGGCCTTATTTCAATTTTTTTTCTTTGCCTTAGAAGAAAACACTTCTCCCGGAAATGTCTTTTGGTAAAAAAAAACAAGTAAGGAGTCATAAATTTTAAATTCGGTGGGTTTTGTATTTATGTTCTATCAGAGCATACTCCAGCTGTTTGAAGTAAATTTAACTGCATTAATCAAAGCAGCATGTTTGACCAAACGTTAAAGAATGTCATAAATCCAATCAAGGTAAAGGGTGCCAAAAATTTTATTGCAAAAAGCACCATTTAATTACCTTTTGTATAATTGTGAAACTAGTAGTTCTTAAAACTATATACAGCTGATGATGAAGGTCAAGTGTTGACAAAAACTAGAATACATATTTTTAAAGACCTGTCCTGTGGTTGACGTATATTATCGTCTAACATCATTCTTAAACTGTTAACGTATGGTATTGTTTCAAACTGTTTTCAAAGTGTTTTTCTATATATATATATATATGTTTGCACTGAATTTCACAAAGATTCATATGTAATTTAATTGAGATAAAAAAAACTTGTGTGACAAATTGAGAGTATATATTGTGTCTTAAATACATTGTCTATAAAACTATCCAAGCAAAGTTACATTATATGATTATTTTCATAATGATCTTCGATCTCGAGGTAACATTATAGCTCATATACAATATTGATGAAATGCTTGCTGAACACAATATTCCTCCCACTCACAACGTCTAATATTTCAGGTTGAAAATATAGTGCATACAAGGTGTATGCTTACAGTAAAAGCAACAAAACATAAAATAAAGTCTGAATTGTGACGTAATTCAGTGTAATGTTATTTATTATATACTTATAAATGAAATATTGAGAAATATTGATGAAATAAAATGTGTATTTTCATTTTCCGTATTTTCACTGTAAAAATTTATTTTTCACTGCAGTGAAACATATTTTCCGTATTTTCACTGGTGTCTTGCCGGACTACTTTCTTTTAAATTCTGCCAGTACACAAAATTTAAGGGAAAGTCTTTCAAATTTTAATGTCAAAAAAGATAAAAATGTATAAATTAAACAGAAAATTCAAGTTTTTTCTATAAATACATGATTTATTTTCATCTTGTGGCATGAAAATTACCATATTTCACTCGTGGCTACCGCCACTCATGAAATATTTATTTTCATACCACTCGATGAAAATAAATCATGTATTTATAGAAAAAACTTGAATATCCTCTATATATTAGTGAAAGTGCAAAGGGCAAAATTAAAAATGCTACAGACTCGTTTTTATTTCTATTATAAAAAATGTGTTCAATTAAGGAAAAAACAAATGTAATTTGTCACTTTGACAGATTATTTCCCCATTAAAATTGCAAAAATACATATTCAGACAAATGAATTTTATTTGTGTTAGATTTTTTAAATTAAAGATGACCAGATAATTCCACTGTTTGAAGAGCAAGTGAAAATATTGCATACATTTGCTTTTGAAGGCATTAAAAGAAGACGAAAATGTTTTAAATACTTACCATAGCTGTTCTTGATGTACGTGGGTGCTCTAGTATAAGCCATACTTTCGTCTGAAACCTTTTCCAGCCTTTTAAACTGTCAAGATCCACTTTTACATGCTCTCTCAGAATGCTACGATTGAATGAGTCAAGAATTCTTTTGTTTTCAATGTAGGATCTGTATGTTCTCCAACAACAAGACTTTATATGATTCTCGTTAATCTGCCAGTAATCCAACTCACGTTTAACTACCGCTCCACAAACTTCAAGAGGTACGTGTAACTCACCTGTCCGTAAAGGAAGTAAAGGAAAAAGGACTATTACTTACTTTTTAAATGCTGGTACATGTATGTTTGTAACTTAGGCCTTAAACAAGGAAATATGTTTGTTAAGTGTACATGCTTGTACTTAGTATAGTATACGTAGTCTTCGTAACAATTCTTGAAAACATGTATTTGCCGCTGCATTTTACAAGAATAATATCTGTTTCAGAAAAGCTGAGTTATCATATAAATGATTATCTGTAACACCTTCCTGTTTTGAAACAAGTGTTTGAAATATTTTGCTATGGTTTGATCACATAATCATATCTGCGAGAGTTTGACGGGTCACAAATGAACAGAGGCTTTCAATAGTATTACACACAATCCCAAGCTGGCCGTACTGATAGATAACAGTATTATGACTTTTTGTTGATGCCTGTTATTATTGTTTAACAATTCTTTGTATAATATTATGCCAAGTCCGCTGTTTTCGCATGAAAATACAGAGATTTTATTTCAAATTCCCATGTCTCTATAATGTATTAACGTGAACTCTCAATGTGTGACATTCTTTATGATAAGTATCGCAAGGTTTGAATGGAATCTCACATTCCATCCTTCAATGCAAGGCAATCTTTTATATAACCATAATGCTATACTTTAACTTACTACTATTTACACTTACTACCAAACATTTTCAATAACGAACTTGAAGAATAGGACACAGGGTGGAGAACGAATTTAAAGTTGTATAAAAGTGACATAAAGGTATGAAACTAAGTTATGGATCACAATTTTAATAGAAATCAAAACATAAAACTCAATAAGTATCTTAACAATTAACATAATCTCAGATATTATTATGTAAAGACGCTAAATCTGACAGACATTTTCTATAAATACATGTGTTTTGGTTTTCAGACACAAACGAACAAAAGAAGTAGTCAGATCCATAGGTTGCCCTACCATGAGGAAATTATAAACATAATCTTCTTGACCTGTTCCCTTATAATTTCAGTTTTCAATGAAATCGTTATGCTGTTATTGGACATATCAACATTGAATCGGTTAAAATTAATCGTATATAAGAATCATAAAAGGTTCTCGACGTTTAAGTTGACCATGCGTCGCTTGAAAAACGTTTTGTTGTAAGTGCCAGTTTGTCGTTTTTGAGAAAAAAGCATGTTAAGATTTAGTATTGCATAACTGTTTTATTTATTGTCGGATTTTGAAACTTTAAAAACTACTAAACGTGATGTCGGGAGAACCACTCGATATCGTTAAAGATATATGGATTTTAATATTTCCTTGCTTAAAAACCTAAGAAAACATTTGGAGATAGAACTGTCCTTGTAATTTTTTTTCAAAAACTGTTAAAATCAAAGTGTTCAATGTGACTTAGAACATTATGTCTTTTAAGTTGAATTGATTTATGTCACATAAAACATTAAAATCCGTTGATCCAGTCCATTATTAAATGACATTTAAACAATAATATAGATAAATAAAGATAAAATACCCACATAAATTTTGTAGACATATTTATCTAATTTTATAACTTTAGCCATTACAATTTTATTTAATACTTTCAAATTGATTCAGTGTCTAGAAAAAGAAATAAAGTTGTAGCCGCAAACGGGAATAGAAAACTTTCAAATCCTCTTGAATGATGGAAAATTCTTCTTTTTTCATGAAAATTCAAAAGATAGTCAAATTCAAATTCCTTCCAAAAAGTTATTCATTATAAGTTATTAGTTTTTAACTTTTTAGTATGTTGTAATGCGCTTTACACGTTATGTTTGTGTTCGTAAGAAGTTCTTCTAATTGTAGGTATGAAAAAAAATGTGGCTATAACTTAAGTAGGCAATGAAAACATATCTGCTAGAAAAGACCTAAAAGGTAGTAGAAGGCATGACTTATATGTCATATTTAAAAATTGTCCATGTACAAAACATTACAAACCTAATGTCACATAAATATACATTCAGAAATTCAAAGACAAATAACAAGACAAACTAAATATAGTATAAGAATATTTATTTATATCACATGCAGTTAATTTATAGGACTTAAGAATAAAATGTCAATGATTGGAGTTTATCGATGAACAAGTAATATCATTGAGTATTAATATATGAAATTATCAGCAAACGTTGTATAACTAGCTAACTCAAAATGTTTCGTAGAACATGGCGGGTGTCCTGCCATCACGTGATTTAATGCAATGTTTTGATACGGTACTTTGGATTTAGAACAGTTTGTTGCATATGCCCCACAAGTCACGTGACATTTATCGATGATATGATTGGTCCAATAAGTTAGAACAGTCTATTTATCAAAACATACTGAATTTGTGGAGTTAGAACAGGATTGTTTTGTTGTAATTCATTTATGAAGCTCTGAAGCACTAAAATAATATAACAAAATTTTGTATTCAACTTGTTTTTAGGAAAATTTGGAGATAGAACATTAATTACAGTTTTCAAGCGACGCATGATGGTTTGTTTGACAGATTAGGAGATACATTAAGTAGTCACAATATACATTCAAGTAATATAACTCAAAATACGCCATCTGGCCTAATTACCGTTAAATAGCTGATTTCGAGAAACCCCAGACGTGAAATTAAACTGAACAATCAGCCTAAATCGAGCGGTCCTAATTTGATAAGCGGCAAAAATGGCCTGGAATAATCCCAGGAGCCACTTAAGCGATAATGTACCAATTTACCAGTTATTTGAGTAGGTTTCACCTGCTACAGTGGATTTTTCAGGCAATCATTTCGTAAATGAAACAGTTAGTAGATGAAAAAAATAGTAACAAAAGATCAGAAGCAAAATTAATACATGTACATAATTATAGTCTCTAGTTTGTTTCATTGCCATAAATGGGTCAATATGCGTATATGCATTTGTCTATATAGTAGCCAAGAATATCAAGAGGTGATCAGTATTTTGATGTCATTATAGTAATAGGCCTCCTCAACATCCCTTAATACCTACTCCATCCCACCCATCTCCGTACGCGTTTGGTACCCTTGTGACCTGATATGGTTTCCTACTGTAGGTGTAAACAATAGAAAATTCCTATCTGATATGCAATAAAACTACATTCTTTTCTTTTGTCGACGTTTTCTTTTATTCGGTCATCAATTGCTAGAATATGATTCAGATATATCGTACAAATGTTATGAGCTATTCAATTTCTTTCCCGGCTCATTAGAATTTATAGTTTGAATATATAAGTAATATAATATTAATATTTAATTAAAACTGTTCATAGCTGTAATCAGATGGAAGTCTACAGTTGTGGTGTCTAGAAAAAACAACATGATCAATTCATATTTGAAAACGAAATTGATAAAAATATAGTTTTGAATAAGAATTTAATCTTTGTAAGTTCTAGGTATGATTTATTTCCCCAAGTTTCATGAAATATCGACCAGCACTTTGTTACAGAGTCTCATATTGATTAGCTTGTATTTTGCGTCTCTTGAGCTCAATTTATTTTAACTGTGTGAGATTTATTCTTCTCATTCGCCATTGTCAAAGGATTTGTAATAGTTTCATAATAAAAGCAGGCCTCTTTCTTCCCAGGAAAATTGAATTTGCCCACAATTTGCAATACAAATAATACGATGTTATCTAACAGTAAATAACATATGAAATGGTGTTTTGAATTTTCTACTTCATCATTTCTATATAGAGACATAAACAGAAAATCTCTTACATACAAATATTTACTATCTTGCCATTTTGATTAAAATTAGGCAGTCAGAAAACAAACATGCAACAGAATGTTAGAGGAGGATTTTTAAAGAATGTTAATTGAAACTACCTCAAACAATTTCATATTTTTCAAACTGAACTTATGTCTGTAATTTCTGGGAATAAATAAACACATATAGTAATATAATTTACAGTCATTCTAATGCTTACTAAAATATAAATTGAAAAGAAAGTGTAGCTGAATGTAAAATACTGGTCGGTATTGTTACTATGTTTAATGGTTTGTTCTGATGTTAATCTTTTATCAATTACAACTGTTTAATATGTTTTGAGATGTGCTAGCTTCAGTGATTGAATGCCCTTAAGTCACTTGTTACAGTGACTCGATTTTACCAGTGTTATAGATCATCGTATTCTACACATGTATCTGTCACATGAAGGTGTACATTTTACGCATATATTTGTATTTCCTATCAATATTAATATTGGTGATCAAAGTGTAAAATGAAACAGGCAATTAACAAAAGTGCGTTGTGCATGGTTGCCACTTAGCTTTAGAATCAATATGTTGTGCGCTCTTATGACACTTTATATCTGATTAATTAATTACAACATATATATGGTAAAGAGTTCCGAAAGGTGTCAGTGCTACGCAATATTTATCCCAGTCAGCTGTATGGATTACTAGTATTTTACTGATAATCAAAATTCTTGTTTATACTAAAATGAAACTGAAATACAAAAATAGCACTAAGTTTGTATGTTGATAAATTTGTAATAAATATAAATATATCTTTTAACAATTTTACGCGAGCATTTGCGCCGTTCAGGACCTTGAATTTAAACTTAAAGCATTTTATCTGCGTTTTGTCTGATTTTCGCTAAATTATTTACTTCAATTTTGAACAACAGGTTTATCCTTACCTCGAATTAAATAATCTGATTTACAACCCGAATCTGCTCATGAAGTGCTAAAATTTAGATATATTTGTATTTTATCAATATTATTTGTATCAACTGTAAAATGTGCGGCTTAGAGTAACGCGCGTTGTGTGGTTGCAAGTTCTTAGAGTTCAAATTTGTGCGTCTATGACACTTTTTTATTAAAATTCTTTTTTAAAGTATTCTCTGTTATGGGAAATAATCCCAGGTCAGCTGTATGATAAAATGAGATCATAATATCATTTTTATATAAAATGAAACATCAAATTAAAATTCTAAAGTTTGTATGTTATAAATTATTTGGTTCCTAACGAAGAATTTAGTCAGCTTAAAATAAAACTTTAATGAAATCCAAGAGTTATAAGTCCGTTTTAGATTTTGACCAATCTAGAAAATTCCAACAGAAAGTGTATTTGAATTTATATTGAGAAAGTTTATAAGTGCCTTGACTTCATCTTAATTTGTTGTATATATATGTTTAAGAGTTCTAAAATTATAATCATCGACTATTGTTTTTCTTTCAAATGCTGTTTTGTCCATATGACTTATTACTGTTTCAATGCAAAAGTTGATATATGACTTACAGAAGTAATTGACTACAGGGTTGTTTACTTAGCACAATGCTTCTATGTTTGGAATTTAATAATCTTACCAGTTCTGTAAAAGTCAATAACGGAGTTGAAAACAGCTGGGTGTCTATCAAAGAAATACACATCTTTTTGTCGTTCGGCAAACACGTGTTGTTCGGCTAAATTGGCAAGGCGGGTGTCTGGTATATTTTGCAACGTGCTTACATGTGTCTCGTGTCTTACCCCGCCTACATTTAAAACTATCCTTTCTTCTTCTTCAGATAATTGCGTTTCAAAAATCTTCTGACTCACCTCTTCTAGGGTTATATATTCCGGCTCACATTTATTTGTATTTAACGGAACTTTCTCACTTTCAATAGAGATTTCAGGTTTTAATCTCCCATTCTGCAACATTTTACCTTGTTTCAGCCTCCAGTCACATCACAAGAATCACATTTTTTGAGGTTTACTCCGACATCTGTTCTGTAAATATTGAGTACCGTTTAGCTATGTCCAATAAACGGATCAACAATGAAATGGTCATGTATGGTGAGCATCGGGAAATATTTGTTTAGTGAATCAATGCTGATATATAAATATTGATAACTGAAGTGTACATTTAGATATTGTTCTACCGGATCCTTTTAATCAGTCCAAAGAATATATTTGATTCATTTTGAATTTCTATAAATCTCCCATATATTTTTTTTTCAATCATATATTTTTCTCTGTATGTCGACGCTACAATTAGTAGAAGAAAATTAAACACAGATGTATTGATCGGAAAGCGCAATAGCGGAACATGATCTTAAATCCAATGCTGGCAGAATCGGTTACTCTCGTGCCGTATTGTTGACTGTCGATGCTGTTGTCAATACACCCAGATCCCACTTGACAACTTTACACAGCTTTTGTTAAAGCTTACACTTAAATAAATTCTGAATGTATTGTCTCATGAGGGCCACACTAACACATCTATCTACAGTAAATAGCAGCATTTATTTAGCTTCTCTGTCAATGATGAACGCGATTTCCACTCCCTTTACTGATATGACATGTTTTCCTGCTACATTTCCGCGCCACCTGTCAATAAAAGAAACAAGCTATCACTTGGTATAAGATTAAAGTGATTTTAATAGTCTTATATGTATGCTACAGACTAGGATTTTTAAAACAACATTTTTACGGCGACAAGTATCCCCGTATCTTTTGTAAGAGCATTTTATAGGTCAAATGTTTGTTAAATATTGCAAAAAAATCAATGTTAAAAAATTATGTGAAGTACAAACAAATATTTCTTTTTTTTCTTGCACAGCAATAAACGATTAAATCGTCCGTAACCCTTTTGAAATAAAAAGATAATAACTTTAAAACTTTCCATATTCGACCTTTTATAAAACTGGTAGCTATTGACTTTTAATTTAAAGACCATCGCAAAAATAACAATATCCTTGAGAAAAAAAAATGAAATTTAGAAATTTTTAATAATCCAACGAAGTGTTCTTCGATATATTCGTAACTGAAACGAAACATGCAATAAATCGGTAACTATCGGAGGAACATGTCTAAACGCAGTGTGCACCTACTTCCGCTTTCAGAAATATATGTAAACCACGCGATTTTCGTGCTTGTATCACTATATATATACAAGATAGAAACAAATATTGTGGTATACTGGCGGTTTGTCGACCCTCGTTAGGTATCACATTCTATTATATATTGATCGATATTATTATATCAGACCAAACATGCATAAACTTATCGAATTGTTAAATTGCAGGGAAAAAGATACTCTTGTTAAACTTTGTAAATTTAGTAAGATTGCTTTTAATCGTAGAAATAAACAAATGAGTCAAAATATATAATCATAATCATCCTCTTAATAACTCATTGGTTGATATAACATTTGTATTGTTTTATATAGATTGTGTGACTATACTTGTGTTGTGTAAATATGTTATTTATGTGCACGATGTACATGATGTACAAGTGAAATAAATGTTCTGTTCTGTTCTGTTCTATTACATTTGTATGTATGATCACGGGTTATACATCCCACGAGGGATATCAGCAGACGACATTTATCTGTCTATCCATGCCGGCCATTTATTGCAGAGATGCTTATCATTCGGAAGATTGATCCGATCGTGATTTTGTTTACGAAGCTATCACACAAATTGCAAAGTTTCTTAAAATAACTCACGACACATTTACAGTTTAGATGCATATCGATTTGTGATTGATATAACGCATGAATAACGTATAAAAAAAAGCACGGTGTGAAACTCGACTAAAATGTTTAATTTTTAATGGTTTTAGTTCAATGAATTTATTATTTCACAGTGTATTGTTTTTTTGTCTTCGTCAAGATTAATGTTTTGTTGCCACTGTTCAAAATTGGTTTGATGCTTTAAACATAGGTGATTGATGATAATGTGTGAGCTTAAATATAAACAAAGGTCCCTTTATAAATATTATTCCCTATATAAATAATAATTAAACTGACTTTATATGAATAAATAAACCTGTAAGTGAATAAAGGTCTGTTTAAAGTAAATACAGGTCATACAAGAGATGAAAGCGCGTTTGTAATAATATTCTTGTATTTGTTCCAGTTCTACTCAATTTAAAGAACGCTAAGGTTGGAACAATGTACTAAAATCTTAGTTTAAGACTTTCTTTAACAAAAGTATTATTATCAATTCCAGTGTCATTTTGACCATTACATATAGAAATATTTCAAGCTATGTAAAATACATAAGACGAGGGAAAATACATATATCACTGCAATGTTATTGATCAAATGTATTGAATGATAAAATGTCAGTGGATAAGAATTGATTTTCCTGTAATTTGAATAGTGTCAGTAGTACTAGTGTCAACGATGACATGAATGGTAGGGTGTAACATAAAATTTGACAATGGAGTCAGTTGGCAGTAAATCCACAGAATCATTTGTCATCTATGGCAACGCATGTTTTTAACAATGGGTAGAAACGTTAACTCTGTAATCTGTGACATGAAAAGATTTTGATGACAAGGAGCAGACGGGTGGTATGATTTAAGGGGCCATTGACCGTGACGTAACTGATTTGTGTGGGAAGCATTTAGGTATGACATTTTCTATAGAATAAGAATAGTGTCTAGACAATGATGGAAAATCACAATACCCTATGGTCAATGTCTTAAAGTAGAAAGTTTTTTAGCAGATAGTATTCTTAACTTTGTGAAGAATATCTTAATGTAAAATCCCGTTTGTAAATAAATAAAGGTCCGTACGTAAATAAAGTAACGTAACAGTTTTCTATGTAAATAAATGATAGTCCGTTTGTAAAAAAAGGTCTGTGAGTAAATAACGGCCCGTTTGTAAATAAAGGCCCGTTTGTAAAAAAAGGCCCGTGTATAAATATAAGGCTGCATGTAAAAAAATGTATGTACATGTATACAAATAATGGTTTGTATACAAATAAGGGTCCATATGTAAATAAAGGCCCGTTTGTAAACAAAGGCTCGTTTGTAAACAAAGGCCCGTTTGTAAATCAAGATTCGAATGTAAATAAAGGTCCAGTTATTATTCCATGCCAGAATGTACATGAAAGTTTCTATATACATAAAGGACCGTATGCTAATAAAGGTCTGTATGTGAATAAGGTATGTATGTAAATAAAGCACGGTATGTAAATAAGGCCCGTGTGTAAATAAAGTACGGTATGTAAATAAGGCCGTGTGTAAATAAAGCACGGTATGTAAGTAAGGCCCGTCTGTAAACAAAGGTCCCTATATAAATAAATTTCACTTCATACATGTATATCAATAAGGACCCGTATGTTAATAAAGACCCGTATGTAATTAAATGTCCCTTTATAAATTATAGCCCTGTGTAAGTAAAGTTCCGTAAAGTACCGTAAGTAAATAAAGGTCAGTCGGGTCAAACGCGTCCGTATTAATATATTCCAAATGTTTCCTGTATTGCCTTTTCAGTTGACATGAATGTCAGAATTTATTACATCAAGATACAGATTGGGAAAAGGATTGCTTCCATTATATTGTCAGTTTTAACACATACCAGAAATCCCCTCCAAAGATCAAGGCATCTATGCTATGTTCTGGGACATAGAAAATACCAAATAATAAATATTCTGTGTACATTTTACATTTGTTCAGGGAATAGTATTTTTTTCTTATTCTAGTTTTCTATTTAAATAACCTTAATACATATATTGATAAGAGTAGTATTTCTATAAGACAATAACTTTGAGTCGAATAGTTTTTCTGTATTTTGACATAGCAATATCTGTAAAAATACGATGATTGCATTTCGGAATGCATTGAAAATTGTGAAAGTTAATTAATGCAGTAATGTTGCTGAAAGTTTTGTCTATATAACCACATGAACTAACTATAATTAAAGTATCAGCATAAAACCTAAATATTTCACATACACTATGTTTCTTAACCTGTTTAAGTAAATGATCGGAATAGTAAACATCGTTTTTTTTAATTTATAAATCTATTTATCTTTGAAATGAATTTAACATCACAAAATACCAAGAAAGGAAAAAACTTAATGTTTTCTTATTATATATTTTTGTGAAATTTCTGCAAGGTTTTTAAAAGCATTTGAATTGCAGAGGAGATCAATTTGATCCGAGTGGGAAACAGACATAATATTACTCAAAATTTTATTCACATATATAATGCATTCAGTAGTGGACACTCTAGGATTTCAACATATTAACCTAATCTGATGACCTATATAATTTTTGTACCATTAGAGGAACAAAGTGTTTCCAATTATATCATGTTATTCTACCCTTAATAATCATAGAAGTGTACCCTCACATTGTACACAGTACAGAAACATTTCAATATGAAGTTAATTATAAAGCTATTTTATAAACGCTTGGAACTGCATATTCTAAGATACCAGTCTGGTTTAAAAATGTGATGTTTATTTTTTCTCAATGTTATGTTATTTTCCCGGAAAAAAACAGCAATAAGATAACGTCTGTTATAGAATGCATATGTCAGATGACCGATGTGCTTGTCTTTTCTGTAGACTGCCTTTGTCATAAGGAATTTCTGAAACTGTCAAATACATAATACGAATCAATACAACGCAATGCTTACCTTCACATCACTTCACACCATGTCGTATCCAGAATCAACACCCAAATATATCACAGTCACAGTCACACAATATGAACAAATAGTGCTGATATTCCAACAATGTAAGGTGCTTCGCTGTTACAAGACATGTTGTTAAAACTGTTTCAGTCGAACTTATTCTGTTTCATCATAACAGATCGATACACTAATATAGAGCAAACTAGGAACGCAGATGCCCGTTTATCAGATAAATGGATGAAATGCATTCGCGTGCAAGGATTTGTTAGTATCACAGAAATGACCCCAGGGAATATTTTTCAATACTCAGATACTAATTAATAAATGTTTAATGAGACACACGAAGATGTATTACTATAACTGTAGTGATTCCGGTTGTTTGATTTTGCTAGTCCCGGCCATTAAATTCTTGAACTGAGATATCGGATACAGATTTCAAAGAGAATATATAATGTATATCATTAATTGATGTAATATATTGACTGAAATGAAAGCAGTGTTGTAAAGAAGAGAACCCATTGTGTATCTTTGCATGTAGCCGACAAGGAATGGTGCAGAAATACCCTAAATGTTTATGTCTGATGAAAATCATGATGTCATCCTTAAACTTATTTACATTTTAGTAATGTTCAATTTTTCATCTATCGATTGTTAAATATTAACATTGATTTACTTTCACACGGTATCTTTTTATGTTTGCCTCAAATACCCGTGGCATCGCGAAAGCAAAACACGCCATATATTGTTTTTATGATACCCGAAAACGCATTACAAAAATTATAGGTCTGATCAAAACCAAAATGACGCATACGTCATTTTGGGCGTTGCAAATACAAAGTACTATGAACATGGTGAGAAGGAATCGGTAGTCTTCCCCACTTCATTTATATTTTCTGTTGTTGTTATTTATTTTGTTAAATCTTTCATTATTATTATTATTATTATTATTATTATTATTATTATCATTATTATTATTATTATTATTATTATTATTTAATAATAATAATAATGATAATACTAATAATAATAATAGTACAGAATATATAAATAATGATAATAAAGTTATTATTATTATTATTATTATTATTAACTTAGATGTTCGTCCTCTTAAATCAATAGGAAGATCGACGGATTAGTAATCCATGGGTCGCTGGTTTGGAGAGACGAAATTTCTCCGTGACAACTGAGCTCGGACATGGAGTCCTATGATGATTGGTTTCTCACCGCTGCTCCAGAAATTATATTCGGTTAATTAATAGTGAATCTGGTAATTAGTTAGTTATCCAGGAAAGCCGGTTGGTTTTAATCGAATACCGACATATAACCAAAAAAAAAAGACAGTAAAGAATTACTTTAAACTCTTGATAATGACACTTCATCGACCATAAATTGTGTATTGATGGCAATATGTATCACACGTTGCAAACTTGAAGTTGTATACAAAGAAGGCATTTCTGTAAACATTTGTTGTTACTGGAAAAGTTAAATAAAAGGGCTATTTTTATTTTATTTATTTTCCATTGAATACGGAATTAAACATTTTCACTCAACATGATAAAATTTAATATATTTTTTACGAGCCGGCATATATAGAATTTTTATCATATCTAGTGAAAATATATTCCATATTTCACACTTGAAAACGAAAAAAATATCCTCTTTTTAAAATGAACATATATGCACTATCATGAAATATTTCTTTTTTGTTAATCTTGCTTCATTATCATAATTCTGTGAAAACAGCACATACATAGCAAGCAGTAATGCAACAACACAATAAATTAAAAATCGCTGAGATAGTATTTATTAGAATAAGTTCATGGAGATGCCTTGCAAAAAATGTAAACTCCATCATGCACCCCCCCCCCCCCCCAGCACCGACTTCAGCGGTTATTAATTCTCAACACACACAAAATTTCAGCTAAGATACCGAAGGATCAGAAAAATATAACAAAACTGAGACGAAACAGGACGCAAAATTTTACAGCCATCACACAGCTCCTAACACCTGATGTTGTACAATAAATATTCCGGGAAGACGAGATCCCTCGAGACTGATGAAAACAAAACAATGCCTCCTCCGACATCTTCTGAGCACCAAGCATCAATCTTTTGAAAATACATGTATTGATAAAAATCTAAAATTAATGCTTTTATGATAAGTAATTTTTTAACCATAATAGAACGATTTTCTTAAAGTTGATTGTCAATATATATTAATTTATTTGAATTATTCATTAAATTGTATTGAACCATTTAAACACTTGATTATTTTTTAGTTCCAAACTCACCCAAGGGAGGTAATCATATCATACTTTGAAAGAGTTGCAATACGTGTATTCTCCCTTGGAGAAGTCTACTTTGTTATTTCGCAAGTGGGCAACTTTTAATAAAGTACCAAATTTACTTTGTTTTATTTATTTTCATAAATGTCTCACTTAGAAATAATATAAATCGTCGTCTACATTGTTCTCCATAGATGTAAATGGTTTCTAAATAAATTGTCATTTTAGTGGACCTTTCCGTTAGAAAAAAAAACTTCTGAGTCATATAACGCTTTGTTTTCTTCAATGCTGAATTTGTGGAACGGGTAAGTTCTATTTTGAATTTTGGACAGTCCAATATCAAAATACAAATACAGACCAGAGTCTGGTCGAATTACACAGAGATACTAGCACATTTTCATACCAGCAGTTAAAGTTAAATAATAAGTTTTTTTATATATATAAATCGGTATCAGTTCTATTATTGTTTGCCTTTTTTGGACGTTGATCCGACCAAGTGCTTATATTTAACGTAACTGGTACTCCCATCACAAATTGTAAGTTACATTTTATCAACTTTATACAAATATCACTGCATGTAGTTATATCTAGTTATATCTAGTTGTTTTTTTAACATGCCTTTATATTGAAATTGCAAGGGTCGAGTTTAGTCAAGATCGTATGGCAACATTCCTGCTTTACTGGTGGAGAAATGCCTCAGGTGTCACTCCGTGCGTTATTTCAGACACTATAGCGAACACCTGAGTAGAATCAGCGACGTTCCGTAAGTTAGCTTGATAGCTACCTCGCCAGAATAATATATACATCTGGAAATAAGTGAAGCACAGCCCGGAAATTTAAAATTGGTTGTGATTGAAAGCAGTGTCAAGAGATGACCACCTAAATGAGCTAAGAAATAGTTATGTGATAAGTAGCTATAACAATTTAGTAATTTGGTAAAAAACAACACATTTGGCTTGGTTAAGAAATAACTAAACTAATAAATTTACTGGTTTATAATTACTAAATTTGTATCGCTACTTATCACATTACTATTTCTTAGCTAAATTAAGTTGTCATCTCATGACAGTGCTTTCAATCACAACCAATTTTTAAATTTCCGAGGTGTGCTTAACTTATTTCCAGGTGTATAGATTCCCTGGCGGCCAGGGATCGAACCTCTAGTAGTAAGGGGCAAGTGGTGTGAAGTGAGATATAGTTTATAATCTCTTAAATCAAGAAATGCTGATAAATGGTGTGTATTTAAAGAATAAATAAACTTATGTCATTTCCGACTTACAAAATTTAAAGAAGTTATAAAGTCATTTCGAACACAGACGTTTCCTATATTTCACAAATCAACGTATCAAACTACCGTTTAGACAAAACGTCGAATGATACATCGTAAATTTAAAACATAATGACCTCAAAATTTAACGATTCTACATTACATACTTAAACTGTAGAAAACAAAAAGTGTTACTTGTATACTCTTAAACTTCCGCCGCCGCTTTAGAAGTATTTATTAAATAGGCGAGAAAATAAACAAGCTGCGTAAAAGAAAAAAATCAATCATTTTGTGTGATTATTTAGGCACAGACTATGCGCAGTGCAGTCTGTTTATGCGTATGTTGTGTACTGCAATAGAACACCTCGGCTATTATTCATCAAAACCTCTGACTGAAAGTTGTTCTACCACAGAGTTTTAAATGGTAACAAAAGCAGAGGGTCTTAAATATTTGATAATGTATAACAAATGCATATATTTGGCATTTACATGTAAATAAAGTCTATTTCAGTAAAAAAAAATCAATTTAAAATGCCAACTGATGTACATAATGTTCTGTTTACTTTTATATTCTATAAATTTACTTAATTTAGATGGACTTGAACTTTGTATTTTAATCGATATATAAGAATAGATTTAATTAACAAAGAAGACAGAAAATGTCGCGGTTTCCTTTGTAAAACTCGACTTTTTACGACAGAAGTATGAAAGAAAAACTCGAGAGTTTCTGTAAGCCGCGACATTTTATACAATTTCGCCATAAAATCTTGCGGATTTAAAAGTTGCACGCGACATTTTATAATTTGACGGTAAAATTTTCGCTATCGGTCACCATAGTTCTGCTTATCCGAAGTTTGACGGAAAGAGCCGAAATGATGCGTTTGTTGATTTCGTTTTATGATAAACATGTGTTGAAATGGTAGTTAGATACAACAGATTTACTACAGATATAACGTTATCATATAACATCATTATGTGTGACTGCATGTACTGCATATCATAAAAAATACGAGATTCAGAATTTATTTATGTATAAATTTAATTATACGCAACTAACCAACATTTATGTGAAATATATAAAACTGTTGTTTGTCTCCCAACTTTGCACTGACCACAGTACGTGTCTAAACAGTTGGAATATAGTTAAATATGTTTAGAATTATATTACATTTGATTCTAATAAACGTTTAAGACAGGCATCTTATATACCTTTTCGTAAAAAATCCATGTTATAATCGTTCAATTATTAAGGGGAAAACGCAGGTCTTTTGTATATTTGTTTCACTCTCAGATCAATTTCCCTTTGCACTAAAAATATTTCCGCATTTAACACTTTTATAGAATCATTCACAAGCTTAGTTTTAAAATCCCCTACTTCATGTACTTGTGTGTTTTCAAAACTATTATCAGACACATTTGTTTGTTCCTCATTACACGGGATTTCTTTTTTCTCAACACTTGTTAAGTTTGGAGTTTGAAGCGAATCTTCCTCGTTTTGAAGTTTTATAAGATACGAATCAAACCGCAAATCATAGTCTTCTAATTTTAAATCCAAACCTAGCAATCTGTGTCTAAACGGCACGCGTTCATTTTCGGGTAGATCCTTGATGATGTCATGTGAAAAATCTCGTAACTCGTTCCTCAGGGCGAGGTTATGTTTTTTCTCGTTAGAAATAGTTTGCAAAAGGTCATGTATGAAGTCTATTATCACTTCTTTTTTCTCATGATCTTTCCTCTCACGACACTCGTCATCACATTTTTTATTACTCTTGTACTGATCTGGAATTGATGCATACTCCTCTTGTATTGAAAACAAATTCTTAGTTTTTAAAATCAAGCTGTCCAACCTTGTCAGAACTTTTGTAATTTCTTCGTGTTTTTCCCACGTCTGTATTTCTACTTTAGTTGCCAAATGTTCAAGTTTCTCAAGTATTAATGCCATATCAAATTCCTCACACAGCACGAAATGTGTAAAGAGAATGAACTTAAAGAGAGTATACTTCTCAGGTGCTCTACACATTATGCAGGTTATGTTGTTGTTTTTTTTCCTTCTTCACAAACGCGTGTATCTAATAAACTCCTGATAATCCGTCTTGAAGTGTTAACATTCGAACAAAGATTATGTTATTATGATGTCATACTTATACATCGGTATGTTTAACTATGATAGGAAATGGTACTTAACTTCAAGTGTAAGATATATAAAACAGTCATGCAATGTAACTTATTATAAATAAATACAGTGGTAAACACGTGTATCTGGCATCAATATATAAATATCATTGTTACTTCATATCAAAACGCTGCTGCATCACTTTCATAGTTCAAAGAAATTAAACATGTATTAATAGATTGTTTCGTTCAGTTTACATGTAAACTGTAGGTAATATCTTTTGAGCGGTTGCAGTTTATAATATGCTTCTGCAGTCAAATTTAAGTTATCAACAATACAATATTTTTCTGTTAGTGAGCATTATTTTCACCCAAGACTTAAGAACGTTGTTTCAATCTCTTAACTGAGAAGCGATTCTGTATAGAAATGCGTTAACGTCAAGTTTAAAGTTACTTGAAACACTGCCGGGTTGCCAACAGTATTTAGTATAATAGTATTACATTCTAATGGTGAAATGCAAACACAATATCATCGCGATTTTAATTTTCTATATTTGGTGTCAGTGTGGCTGAATTAATCATTTCTGTGTCTTTCGAGAATAACAGTGTTATAACAGTGATTTGATACCTTTCATTATATTTTTGTTGATAATATACTTGTCTATTATCACGTTCTTCTCCATCAATTATTTTTCTAAAAATATGAATTGCCCAATTTTCAAGCCATTCCTAGTTTGACAAGACATATATATGCTATTGTACATTTGCCTTGTCTATAACTAATTAGAATGGCTGATTTTATGTACATGTGTATTCTCAGAATCTTACAGGAAGCGGCAATAGACTTGACAAATTGTGACAGTAATTATACAGATTGACAAACAAACAAAAGAAAAGAATAAAAAATAAAATAAAATAAAATGAAATAAAATAAAATAAGATAAAAAATAAAATAAAATGAATAAATAGATGACTAGTGTACTTTTATACTTTTAACCCTACTATAATTTCGTAATATTCAGAATTATCCCCTCCCCCCCCCCCCCATGAGAAAAAGAAAATCATGAAAAATATATAGGTCTACAAAAAGACAGGGTTTGATTTAAACACAGTTTTAATATTCTCAAAATTGGACATAAAAAATTAAATGACAGTTTCATTATTTGACAAATGAAGGATCCATGGGTTCTCACATTAGCAACGGATTTTCCATATGCAATAAGTTAAATATAAATTAACATGATACACGGATGACAGTAAGGTACAAGCAACACAACATGTGTACAACAACAACAACAACAACAACAAAATTTTATCCGACCCATACAAAGAATACTTACAATAACAAACATTTCATTTAAGTATACAGTATCGTACAGTGTACAAGTTATATATCTTGCTTCTTTCAAATACAAAAATGTAGTTAAAGGATAAAAAGAACAATAAATATATCTGGTTGTTCATAGAATCCAGTTCTGAAAAGTATTGACCTGAACAGTCGCAGTTCCATGCAGTAACAAAAAGAAAATGGAATCAGACAGGAAGGAGATTTTTAATGTGTTAATAAAATAGCAAAAAATGTTTGTCTGCCGTGATGCAAAGATGAAACTCAATATGGCAATAGATTTTAAAATATTATATAAACTGAGCTATCAAGATATAATTTTAGTTTAAACAATATTTTATTTATAAGTATTACATTTACATGATAATTGACAAATAATAAATAGTACGGATTGAGTAGGAAGCTTGAAAAGCTTTTTTAGAAACTCTTTCCGTAATCACTATCTCAAAGAGTATATAAAAACATAATTTTACTAGATAGTTTAAAAGATTAAGTCCGCTTTGAACGAATGACACGCTCTTTTGCTGTCTTAAGATTATTCAACGTTTAGGCTATGTAAGCACACGTATTTATATTACAATTTATATTGTTTATAAGATCCGTGGTAAGCACGAGTATAATAAAATAGCTGTTTGAATAAAACATGAAATACGTTTTACAAGAATAAATAGACTGATATGGGAGACAACTCTGACATGGTTTATTTGTATACTTTATATATGAGTTACTGTTACTGACATGCAGCCCACACTATATGTAACGCTTATTATGTAGTTTTTACCTATAATCATTCTCCTGAAATAAAAATTGAATTTAAAAACTTTTATTCGGAACTACTGTAGACTCAATTTTAGCATCAGGTATATAGAACTATATACGTCTCTATTACTGTATAAGTTTTATTCAGCTAACTTGGAAAATAAGGAAATAGCGACACTTTCCCGCGTATTTATTGAACAGCCCTCGTACATGAACATGTATGTCATCCCCGTGAGTAGTGTGGCATTATTGGGAGAATGCATATAAGAGGAGCGGTGGCCTTGTGCTTTTAAAAAAGTTGTATGCCTCTCAACCCAGGGGTCATGGGTTCGAGCTCTAATCGGGTTACGACCATGTTTCTTCATATGACACCAATACTGATTGGTTCCAGCAGGGTCTTTCAAATAGAAAGACCCTGGTTCCAAGAAGCGGACTCGAAAGTGATTAATATAAGTTGCAAGAACTTGTTTCGCAATCGAGCTCACATAAATATGTTTAAACCATATCGCTAACTTTATATTCTGAAATCCGTAATTACCTAATAACTAACTATTAAGCAAAAAAATAGGCCTTAAAAAATATTGTTATAACTTTTGGTTCGAGCCTTTTGTATGAACATTACTTTTGGTTAAGATATAATGACGTTAGTTTGTGTTGTATATAATATCACATAATAAAACAATACAGTACGACATATACAGCTTCTCTTTTTAAACAGAAACTTATATTGAAAAGTGTTTAAACCTGACAAGTGTATTGGCTTTAATATATGGAAATAAAAATTGTGAATAAAAATATCCAAAACATAGAGCTATATATGTTACAGTCTTAATTGGAAGGTGGATTAAAATGAAAACAACATTTGAGAGGCTACTTTGAACATTACGTTCGTTTAAACACAAAATGTCAGTTAATATTACAGAGGGTGTTATCATTGATAATGCACTTTTGAATTTGATATCCAAATAAAAAAGTTCATTTCGGATTGAAAATATGTCTGACAATAAAAATCAATTTAAAAAATGCCCTCTGCACAGGCAGTCATTGTGTGGCTTCCTATTTTTTTAACTATTCTATCCGGATGACCACGCCCACTTTATATATATTTCAATAATACTACATAAGTAAGTTTGATTTTTAATTTCACCTATCTTTATTTATAGTATCTGTATATGGATGCAACAACAAACCTTCTTCTTAATGAAAATAATTTGTTTTAAAAAAAACACACACATTTTGAATAAGAAAAAAATTTAAAAAATGTGGGCGTGAGCATGCACATGAATACTATCTAAAAAAGAATAACCGAAACCCTAAAGAATACCTAAAAGGCCGAGAAGATGCGATTGAGATTTTTACAGTACCGGAAAGTATAATAGTCCGTACTCCGTACGGAATTTATCATAAGCACACGTGTTTCTTCCTTTTCCGGTCGCCATTATTTGCGAGTATCAGGTGAAACATGCTTTCCTAATATTTTACGAAATTTGTGATTTTACTAATGCTGATTTGATTAAATTAATAGATATTCATATTTTTCAGGTCGAAAACTTAAAAACCACAACATGCAGAACGAAACAGGAGAGTTTGTGGACATGTATGTCCCAAGAAAATGGTAAGCCGATGTGTTTCTTTTAAAATAAAAAGAAAAAAATATCTTTATACAAGGTTAAGGATTTCTTCACATTAACAGTGTGTCAGAAGAAAAGTTCAACCTTTACGTCCAGGTGCTACCATATTTAACAGAGGCTCACCAGTTGAAATATTCTTTAAAAATCATGCAGTTTTCCTAAGAATTCACACTACAATAGTTCTTCCCAAAAATCAAGTGGGTAAGGCCTGATGTCATTGGAATAGGCTCAGTCGGGTCGGTCTATTTACCCCAAGACTACTCTGGGACAGAAAGACACACATTTTTAGTCCCAGGACTACCCAAAGACACCCCAAGAATCTTATATATTGTGTATATTGGGAAAGTGTTATTATATACGACAACTGATTATTTACGTGTCATCTTGTTAATTACTGTTTAATATATCAAATATTGTTAATTATGTATGGACTTCTTTCATCACTAAAATATTTATTGATATGCTCTTTAATATAAAAAAAAATATTTTGATTAAAATTAACTTTACTGAAAAAACAAGACTATGTTAATCTAATGAAATGTGGGGCAGATGAAATAAAAATAATCAATATTAAGAGAACCGGTACAAGTCAACCCAGCCCCAAGTCAACCCGGCCCCAAATCAATGTTATTTCTGGTCAACCCGGCCCCATTTTTTATATTATTTATTTTGCTTTAAAATGTAAACACTTTTCAAGAAATGAAATATAAGTTAACAACAAAAACAACGACAAATTTTAACGATGATATCTTTTATTATTTATTTTATATAAAAACTTTCAATATTAACAAACAAGCAACACATGCATAATTTACTGTTTTTACAATGTCCAATGCGGTACAAGTCAACCCGGCCTCAAGTCAACCCGGCCCCAAATTGGTCAACCCGGCCCCAAACCAATGTTATTTCTGGTCAACCCGGCCCCATTTTTTTTTGCTTTAAAATATAAACAATTATCAAGAAATAAGTAAAAATTAACAACAAAAACAAAAGTTTAACGATGATATCTTTTATTATTTATTTTATATAAAAACTATCAATATTAACAAACAAGCAACACATGCATAGTTTGTTTTTACCGTCGCGAAAATAAGGTGACGTCTGTCTTCAACCTTAACCTCTCTACGATAGAAGTATTAAGAAAAAAACTAAACTTTTTTATTGACAAATCATGGAAAAGAAACCTTAATGTGTTAAAATCATTACAGTAACTATGTTATTGTATGTTATTGTATGTTAAAAAAAAGAAATGACCAAAAGCTTAAGCACACTAAAGTGTTTCCTTTAACAGTTTTTAAGTAAGATTAATTATAGAGATGCTGCCATCTACCACAGGTATCGCAGGTCACTGCCTCCTGTCTGTCACGCTCAATATATCCACACTCAATACAGTTATCAGTCATAATGACATATAATGATTTAACACAAAACACTACCAATTTTTCAAACACTTATTGATATTCCAATACTTTTTACACAGTAAATATTCTTTGAAAATAAGTTAATAAAATACGAAACAAATATTAATTATACTGATGAACGTATTCAATAAAATCATTCAAATGAACTGAAAAAAAAAAATATTGTAAACTTAATTTACTGTATACAAACCTTTTAACTCGAAATTCTATGCATTTCTTTCTAATTATCGCATTAACACTTATGAAACCATCTTTAATTTACATCGAATTTAAAGGATTTGTTTTCACAGCTATACATTTTTTGTTAATTGATTGCTTTAAACTGTTTGATTATCACATCTGAAATAATGTTGAGTTACATATAATTGTTGATGTTATATAATTATTCATTATCACTATTGCGTATTAAAGTCTTAATCGGCGCAATTAAATTTACCGACACTTTTATGCCAGTTCGCGTTTTTTTTACTATTGTTCTATAGTTAATAATATTCAATTAATAATTTTATTCCATCGTACAACAAAATGACCTGAATAGTTTTCTTTGAAAAATACATATTTTGGGGCCGGAATGACCGATTTTGGGGCCGCACTGACCAATTTTGGGGCCGCATTGACCAAATAAAAATACTGTGGGGCCGGATTGACCAATTTTGGGGCCGGGTTGACCAATTTTGAGGCCGGGTTAACTTGGGGCCGGGTTGACTGTAATTCTGTCCAATGCATAGTTATATATACAATGTTCAATGCATAGTTCTACAATGTTCAACGTATCTAGTTCTACAATGTTCGTCACACACCGCTACAATGTTCATCACATACAAACACTAATTCACTTGTCGTCTTCTTCTGCCTCTCTTCTACCTAGTATGGGTCTACAGGGTTCTCGGGGACGCTTATTTCGGCGTCCCGGTACGCATGTTTATTGCAGCTGGACGCAAATATTTCAGAGCAAGGATTCCACGTACGCTTTATTTTGCCCGGGGACGCATAAACATTACTGATTATTTACAACCACAAATACACAAATGCGTCAGCGCGTGTCAGTCTATAGGTAGGCGGTCCTATGCACATCGACCCGTGAAGCAATTAGCCAATCAGCGATAACGCTTCCGATCATTATCTCAGACTAATGTATACACGCGCTGTACAGTACATGAAATTACCAATTATATCACGAGCTGATAATTTTATATCTTTGATCAACAGTTGATTGGAAATTAGCAAATTTTACCGACAAAAGGATAAAATTATCGACTATTTACGCCGCAAGTTTAAATACTGTTTTCTCAAATTACAATTGAGTGTAATTTTGAATGATTGTCGAATATTTTCGGCAATAATGATTGTCGAATAATTTCGGCATTTTCTAGGCACAATTTTGCTTTAGTTTCATTCTTGCAAAAACTTTCTATAAGAGTATTAAGAATTTAAGATATTGTGCCGAAATGCCAGGTACACATACGCTTTTCTCTTATCCGAAAATTGATCCCGAACATCGGCGATTTCACGTTCGCCAGAAACCCTAAAATTTCGCAAAAATTCTCGGTTTCCAAGCCAAACATGCGAATGAATTGTTTCTTTATTATTTAATCAACATTAAATCTTTAAATGCCAATCTTTAATTTGCCCCCTTTTGGAGATATTTGCTAAAATAATCGTCGATCGGACGAATCTCTTACACACTGTGTGAATCTGTACACGATTTTCCTATTCATTCCGCTAAACGCTGCTTATATACATTTACGTTTTTTTTTAACAAATACAAACATTTTGTAAGAGTGGACTTATTTAACCAGAGAAAAATTTGATTTGGTATAAAAGTGAAAAAAAAAAAGAGATTTCCATGGGTTAATGCATTATAATGAAATAATTTCATAATAAATATTAACAACAAAACAATAATTATACTATGTAGTTCAGAGTTTCTTTTGAATAACTATTTACTTTGGAAGTCTCTTGAACATTCAAAATATCAGCAATGCTATTGTGAACATTGAATGACTAATCTGTAAACATATCAATTGCGACGCGCTTTTGGACTCCAACTTTTTCAGGGTTGGGAGTCCATGGACTCCATGTTTTAAAGTCCTAGTGAGAACCCTGGTCTATACATGGTAGGCACAATCTTCAATAGGGCGGTTTAGACATAATAATGCTGGTAAATTTACTTGATGTTGTCTTGGGGTAGTCTAGGGGTGTCTTGGGGTAAATAAACTGACCGAGCTCAGTCCAATATATCGGCATTACGGGCTTGTTATAATCATTTTGTTAAAACCCAACGTTTAATGGGTATTGCTTTTAAATATAGCAACATAAAAAAATTAAACAGACTGGTGAAAAGCTTGATCGGGCTTAGCTCAAGGTCTTCAGCATACCCATACATATACAATGACATGAACGCTGAAAACGGATGCATAGGGAAAATTGTGCCAGGAATCTGACACACTCCTTATCATTCATAGAGCATGCCATTAGGTAAAAGTGATGCTGAAAAAGCAGTGACTTTTTTCCCCAGTTTTTAAAAAAAACCTGGCTTTCTCAAGGGGTAAATATAGCGCGATAAATCAGAAAAAGGGGAAACCTGAAATCAAAATTCCAACAACTGAAAATTGAATTCAGTTTAATTTAACATGCATGGAATTGGTATATAGAAAAGGCTATCTATAGGGACAGATTTCTGTCTTCTAGCTGATATAAGTCAGATGCTATTAAGTCATGGTTCTGGTAAGGAAGAGAACGAGGCATTTTAGGGGAAGATAATAGCTTTTTAGGGGAAAATATACCTATTTTTGGCTAGGGTTAGTTGTAAAATACAGTGAAAAAAATCACTGAAAAGATATATATAATCTATTAATAAGCCAAGTATCAACACTTAAAAAACTTAATTGAAACACAAATTACCAGGTGAAAATAATCATCGTTTCGCTGCCAAGATGTTTGATCATGTAAGTACGAGATTGACCTCGGGGTTCATTTAATTATGTGTGGACGGTTACAGAAACAATGCCATGTGCTTTTTTTTAACAAAATACTTTTTTCCCAAAACTATAAATTGTGACTTGCTGACTTATATTCTTTTTTTATTTAATTCGTGTAAAATAAAAAAAGTAAATAAAAATGAAAGCTATTGTATTGAAATCATGTCATGTCAACAAAAATGTTCTAAATATAGTACATGCCAGTACTCAAAGCAATTGAATAATTCCCCCGAACTACGTCATGCGAGGTCTTGCGTGACTCCCAACTTCCCAAGTGTCATGGACGACATTAGACGGTTTAATTGATGTTTCGCAGTAGGAATATGCAATTTTATTTGCAATATAAGTATTTTAATAATTTAAATAGTCTAGAACAATGTTGAAATAATATTTTCATCAGATAATGCACAAGAATAAATTAGGAAAAGGGTATTTGCAAATTTAAACAAAGTTTCACAAACATGTCTTATTCTGGTTAGGTTTCATAACAGGTCTGATACAAAACTTTAATGCCACATCAGACGAAAGAAAAATGTTGAAAAAGTGGCTTATACAGAACTAGATCAGGCTTAAGACATAAAAAAACATATTTCTATAAAAATAATTGAAATGTTTCTAAAAATTCCTTCTAACTTGCTAATAATGTTTATTAAACATTTATATGTGATAAATTCAAAATAAAAATTTATGGTTATCTTTTATTTTCTTAAAATTATTTTACTTTTTCCCATTATCTGGAAACAAAATATTTTAAGTTCATATAAATTATGTTGTAATGTAAAATTCTATTAAGAAGTGTGTCCAACAACTTTATTTTGCTCCAGATTATTGCGCCAGTACCTTAAATTTATTCTATATATTTGGATTCAATATTCTGTTTCAGGCATTTATATTTTGACAATTCTTTGACACTGAACACTAAACTTTTCTCTGAAAACTGAATGAAATTTATGCTGAAAGGTGTTGGCGCAATGAATTTGAGCATAAAGAAGTTATTTAACTTCTTTTGTTTTACACTTTGCATAATTGTGTAACATATTTTTTAAAGACTTAAAAAATTATGTGTTATAAAAACATGAAAAAGGGGAAATAATTCTCACAAAGTGACAGTATCTGTTTAAATGTCAAATATTATTCTCAATAAACAAAGTTTAAAAGAAAAATCTTTGTTACTTTTCTAGAAATATGATTTTTTATGTCATAAGCCTGATTGGGCTTAATCACCAGCCTGTTAAAAATGTCTAATTATTAATTATGCAGGGCTTTTTTTGGACAAGTTTGGGAAGCAGCCCTGCCCTTAATTTTGGGGGAAAATTCATAGTATATCTGCAAAAGGGAAGAAAAAGCTTTATATAATTTCATTTTTGGGGAAAATGGCATGATTTTAAAGAACTTTCATTGGGGAAGCAGCCCTATTATGGCCCCTTGCTATGGAAGGAAAAATCTCTATCAGTGCAGTGCATTCATATGCCGTCAGATTAAAATGTTATATTGTCCCGCATGTATCTTTTAGAATATATTAATTATGCCAATTAACACTTTTTCAGCTCTGCAAGCAACAGAATTATTGCTGCAAAGGACCATGCCTCAATTCAAGTTAACTTTGCTGATGTAAGTTATCAATACGTTAAACATACTTCTTAATTGATAAATTTTCCTGAAAAGTGTAAAATGTAGATGGCCCATTTGTTTACATGAACACTGAAAACCGATTGCAGGTAATTATGAACTAAATAAAATTTATTTTCATTGAAAATGTTGAGAAGGACAACCCTTGTTGCCGTTGATAAATATTTTAGTTCAAAGAGTATCATCGGTTGAATGTGTTTATGTATAAAGTTGATTACAGAGTGCAGACAAATCATTTCATAAAAGAAATGAATACTATATTTATTTTGTAAACCCAGCATTGATCAGACATCATTGTCATTTGGCGGGAGATTCACAGTCCGATATCACTATTATATCTAACCCCAAAATACACCTGAAAACAAGGGTGACCCGTCGCTGATCTGGTTCTTAATTAATAAAAAAAATCCAGTTGCCTTTCAAATTTTTTTAGATAAAAAGACAAGTCCTGGGTTGATATAAACAACAAATTGAACATTAAATTTCACGCAATTACACTTTATATTGGCACCCATGTTTTTCAGAATCCCCCCTATTTTTTAATGAGGGGGAAAATTCACACTATTTTTGAATTTCTAGAATAGACATTATGACAAATGATCTCAAATATTGAGTCTTATGGTCATTTGCTTTCAACCACTGGTTCAGAATTCATGTGAGATTAGATGTCATCAGTCACTTGTGGAGAAATTGGAAAATTGCTGATTAGTTATCTAAGTGAAATGATGGCTAACATTATGTTGAAATTAGCTCAGGCTTAGATATCTCTTGGCAGCAAAACACCTTAGCATCTTTTAAAGAAAGGTTGCCTTACCATGTTGTGATGTACATATGGTATATAATAATGAAAATAACAGTAATAAACATTTGACATTAGACACAAACAGTCTCTGAAAAGGTTATGAAGGGTTGATATAATTAATATATTAGAAAATAAAAGAAAAATTAAGGAAATGTAAATTTATGTTTGCTGTTTATATTTATTATTATTATTGTTATTATTATTATATTGTTTCTTTACTATTTCTGGGTGTAATTTAATAGATCTTTGGTTTATGAGGCCGTCAGTCATGAATAATTAAACTAAGTCTGCAATGGAGAACTTCTAAATATAAAAAGATGCAATATTTATTGTGTATGTGGTGGTCTTGTTATATTGTAAGATGTTACACAAGTATAATACTTCATGTGTAGTTGTTCCATATATTCTAGGTTGATGAGACAACTGGCAGAATGACTGGTACATATAAAACTTACGCTGTCTGTGGACCAATCAGAAGAATGGTTGGTATAAGTTATAACTAATTGTAATATTTATCAATGACTGTAAAGTTATTATGCCTCTATTTAAAAAAGTGGGAGCATACTGTGATGAGATTAGTCTGTATGACTTGTCCGATCAATTACTTAATGAACTTGTATCTTAGTAGGGACATTACCCATGGGCAGTGGATGACCTCTATTTTTAGCTCAAATGTCAATGACACCACAAGCATGACTGGTAAAAGCTTTTCCAACCAAACACAAGAGAACACTGTCCTAAAGTCCTGCTCTTGCTCTTTAGATGATCTGTATTGATTTTAAGGGTCAAAGGTCAAGGTCACAATGGCATAAACCGGTACGAGCTAATCGGGGCCCTTAGTATTGTGAAAGTTGACACTGTAATGCTATTATTTGTGAATATATTACCCGAGTATTATAAAAAGAAATTTAGTCATTCTAAAAATACGACCAGCACAATCCATTAAAATATTAACTCTTGTAAACATAGGTAGACTGCAAAGATTAACCAAATTATTGTCATTAAACTTTTATTATGTATATTAGTTAGAAAGATTGCTAACAAATATGAAAATGGATTCAGCTGGTGGTTTTGAAACCATTTGGAAACTTTTAAGCTATTTTATGCAGCCTAGTAAAATTCTCTTATTTTAAAGCATAATGTACTGCTTGAAAAACAACAACAAAAAGAACTTATACATAAAAATAAATATTTCTTTCTTTTATTTTAGAAAAGAAAGAGTGAAAATGATTTGATTTAAGAAATTTAAAAAAAATCTAAAAATTCAATCAGATAACCATATTACAATTATGTGGTTACTAATACATGAGTTATACTGGAAAAAACAACCACAAAAACAGCATTTTTTCCCTGTCTGGTACCATGAAAAAATGCCAAATTGTGATTTTTTTCTCCTTAAAAATGAAAATTCATATACACAATTACTTTAATCATACTAAATTCAGATTAGTTTGTATCTATTCTGCTCCTTTTCCTTGTTACATCAAAAATACTATTTTGGATTATCCAAATGACCTTTTTCAGATATTTCACCAAAAACTTAGTACAGGGCATTTTTTTAGCTCACCTGTCACAAAGTGACAGGGTGAGCTTTTGTGATCGCTTTTCGTCCGTCCGTCCGTCGTCCGTCCGTAAACTTTTACTTTAAATGACATCTCCTCATAAACCACTAAGCCAATTTCATCCAAACTTCACAGGAATGTTCCTTTGGTGGTCACCTTTAAAAATTGTTCAAAGAATTTAATTCCATGCAGAACTCTGGTTGCCATGGCAACCGAAAGAAAAAACTTTAAATATCTTCTTTTGAAAAACCATAAATGCTAGAGCTTAGATATTTGGCATGAAACATCTTCTAGTGAGTGTCTACCAAGTTTGTTCAAATAAAAGCCCTGGGGTCAAAATTGGCCCCGCCCCAGGGGGTCATTAATTTTCCCTATATGCATAAAGTAAAAACTTAAACAAATCTTCTTTTAAAGAACCCAAAGAGCTAGAGCTAAGATATTTAGCATGAAACATCTTCTCATGAGTGTCTACGAAGTTTGTTCATATAAAAGCCCTGGGGTCAAAATTTGCCCCGCCCTGGGGGTCATTGATTTTCCTTATATGTGTATAGCAAAAACTTATAAATCTTCTTTGAAAAAACTCAAATAGCTAGAGTTTAGATATTAAGCATGAAACATCTTCTAGCAAGTGTCTACAAAGTTTGTTCAAATAAAAGCCCTGCGGTCAAAACTGGCCCCGCCCCAGGGGTGTCATTTATTAACTATATGTGTATAGTAAAAACTTAAAAAATCTGCTTTTTAGAAACCCAATGAGCTAGAGCTTAGATATTTGGCATGAAACATCTTCTAGTGAGTGTCTACCAAGTTTGTTCAAATAAAAGCCCCATGGTCAAAATTGGTCCCCCCCCAGGGGGTCAATGATTTTCCCTATATGCATATAGTAAAAACTTAAAAAATCTTCTTTTAAAGAACCCAAAGAGCTAGAGCTAAGATATTTAGCATGAAACATCTTCTAATGAGTGACTACGAAGTTTGTTCAAATAAAAGCCCCGGGGTCAAAATTGGCCCCGCCCCAGGGGGTCATTGATTTTCCTTATATGCATATAGTAAAAACTTAAAAAATCTTCTTTTAAAGAACTCAAAGAGCTAGAGCTAAGATATTTAGCATGAAACATGTTCTAATGGGTGTCTACCAAGTATGTTCAAATAAAAGCCCTGGGGTCAAAATTGGTCCCGCCCTGGGGGTCATTGATTTTCCTTATATGTGTATAGCAAAAACTTAAAAATCTTCTTTGAAAAAACTCAAATAGCTAAAATTTAGATACAGGTGAGCTATATACAGGTGAGTGACTTCAGGGCCATCATGGCCCTCTTGTTCATCGTATACAAAATAACAGGATGTATATGTTGTATCTATAACATATTTGTTGGTATTTTAACAACTTGATGTTATAAAAATTTGACCAGTCTGATGATAAATGCCCTTGCATATTCAACCGTTGGACTGTAAGACACATGTTAATACATTAGTTACAAAAAATCTTTGTCCACAATTTATTGATTATCAGAATGATGGCGCAAATCATTTAAAGTTGTCATATATTATAGATATAAAGAAAGAATTTTTTTTCACTTTTATTATCATTAAAGGTACTATAGTAGATAACTTGTATAACAAGAAATGTGTGTTCTATAGCAGTTAGCTCCCTTGTATTGTTGGATGTATCGCTTCTTTCATCAGTAATAAAACTATTCCCTTATCAATGATTAAATTGATTTATTACATGCTTTTCGGTAGTTTATAGAAATATATCAGTGATATAAAACTGGTAATTTCACTGTTTGAAACAGTGAAATTACCACTTTGATAATTTCACTGTTTTGAATTTAAGCCCCTTACTTTGTTTCAGTGAAATACCAGCGTGCACAGTACTGGGTACCAACTTAATGACGTGACGTCGTAAATGACGTCACGTTGTATTATTATTTGGCGCGCTTTTCATTCAGTATTAGGTTTAATGTCGTTTTAAAACGTTTCTTTGCATGTAATAAAAAGAAAATTTGTTTAGTTTAGTGTAAGATTGAAATATATTTCACCTTGTGAACACCAAAAGTTCATATTTCACTCGTGGCTGCGCCACTCGTGAAATATACCTTTTGGTGCTCACTCGGTGAAATATATTCCGATCTTACACTGAACTAAACAAATATCCTCTATATATTTGTAGAATATGGCTGTAATTTGTAGATAGACCATTTAGAAAATTTGCAGCACTCCTTAAAATTGCAGAACAGGAACACTCCTTAGGTTATTGCCCTGTCAGTATATAACGCAAGCATCACTCAAAACTTTCTCTAAATATGTAATATAAAACTGTTATAAAACAATTTAAGTACTGATGATCTTATATGAACTTTTTTTTTCTTCATTAAACACTTTCGGTAACTTCTTTCCCCTTCTTGAAAAAAAATTGCTATTTGACTAATTTACAATTGGGGTGTCACAATAATATACTGGTTTACCGGTACATTCCAGTATGCTGAAGTAGTTTTGAATTGAAAAAGCAAAAAGAGAACTATGAAAATATTTGAGATTAAAATTAGATATTAAATTGAAGAAAATCATAGAAAGGGTTGCTGTATGTAAACAAAAGTAGATAGAGACAGTTGAATAAAAAAAAATCAGATAATGGTGGAGAATAATACATTTTATATCCATGTGCATCATCATGATCTCATTTTGACTTGTTATACAATCTTTACCTATCAGATCATTGGTATATGATATGATTTTTTTTTTCATAAGGCATTTTTAAAGTTTAATGTTTTTCCATTGCAGGGTGAATCTGATGATTGTCTGATCAGATTAGCAAAAAGAGATGGAATCATAGCCAAGTAAGATGCTTCTTTTATCATATATTAATTATAGACTTTTTCTTTATGTTTGTACGGTATATTAAGTATTTTCCTTTCATATATGACCCAACTTAAACTTGAAGAAAATAGGCACCAAAACCAGATAAATAAAATAAAAACAAACTGTCTCATCCAAAATGGAAATCAGTTTGACATAACAAAATGAGATGGAATGATATAAATACACGTTTTATATTGTAAATTTAAAAAGTCACCATCCAGATTTTTTGGAATGATTTTGAAAAATGATTGTAATCACGTGTAGTTAACTACTTTATCAAGCAATTTTGACCCCATTCCTGTCAAGACAACACTGGTATTGAAGCTAAAAGGTCAAGTCAAATGTCATGATTGTAAATTAACTGTAGTGTTTTTTTAGAATTAAAAAGAATATAAATGTCAATTCATGATAGATAGTGCATTGCTGGATGGTCAGGTCATTCTGTCATTTAGGGATGAATTTAAGTGGGATAGTTCTATCACTTACAGATTTCTTTGTTAGTTGTGAATAAATTTGTACAATAGTCAACAGAATTAATTTGAAGAACAAATCATGCAGTTTTTAGCTCACCTGTCACAAAGTGACAGGGTGAGCTTTTGTGATCGCTTTTCGTCCGGCGTCCGTCCGTCCGTCCGTCGTCCGTCCGTAAACTTTTGCTTTAAATGACATCTCCTCATAAACCACTGAGCCAATTTCATCCAAACTTCACAGGAATGTTCCTTTGGTGGTCACCTTTAAAAATTGTTCAAAGAATTTAATTCCATGCAGAACTCTGGTTGCCATGGCAACCGAAAGAAAAATCTTTAAATATCTTCTTTTAAACAACCCTAAGAGCTAGAGCTTAGATATTTGGCATGAAACATCTTCTAGTGAGTGTCTACCAAGTTTGTTCAAATAAAAGCCCTGGGGTCAAAATTGGCCCCGCCCCGGGGGGGTCATTGATTTTCCCTATATGCATATAGTAAAAACTTAAAAAATCTTCTTTTAAAGAACCAAAAGAGCTAGAGCTAAGATATTTGGCATGAAACATCTTGTAGTGAGTGTCTACCAAGTTTGTTCAAATAAAAGCCTTGGGGTCAAAATTTGCCCCGCCCCGGGGGGTCATTGATTTTCCCTATATGCATATAGTAAAAACTTAAACAATCTTCTTTTAAAGATTTAAAGAACCGTAAGAGCTAGAGCTTAGATAATAAGCATGAAACATCTTCTAGTGAATGTCTACCAAGTTTGTTCAAATTAAAGCCCTTGGGTCAAAATTGGCCCGCCCCGGGGGGTCATTGATTTTCCCTAAATGCATATAGTAAAAACTTAAAAAATCTTCTTTTAAAGAACCCAAAGAGCTAGAGCTTAGATATTAAGCATGAAACATCTTCTAGTGAATGTCTACCAAGTTTGTTCAAATTAAAGCCCTTGGGTCAAAATTGGCCCGCCCCGGGGGGTCATTGATTTTCCCTAAATGCATATAGTAAAACTTAAAAAATCTTCTTTTAAAGAACCATAAGAGCTAGAGCTTAGATATTTGGCATGAAACATCTTCCAGTGAACGTCTACCAAGTTTGTTCAAATAAAAGCACTGGGGTCAAAATTGACCCCGCCCAAGGGGGTCATAGATTTTCCCTATATGCATATAGTAAAAACTTAAAAAATCTTCTTTTAAAAAACCCAAAGAGCTAGAGCTAAGATATTTAGCATGAAACATGTTCTAATGAGTGTCTACCAAGTTTGTTCAAATAAAAGCCCTGGGGTCAAAATTGGCCTCGCCCCAGGGGGTCATTGATTTTCCCTATATGCATATAGTAAAAACTTCAAAAATCTTCTATTAAAGAACTCAATAAGCTAGAGCTAAGATATTTAGCATGAAACATGTTCTAATGGTTGTCTACCAAGTATGTTCAAATAAAAGCCCTGGGGTCAAAACTGGCCCCGCCCGGGGGGGGGGTCATTGATTTTCCTTATATGTGTATAGCAAAAACTTAAAAATCTTCTTTGAAAAAACCCAAATAGCTAGAGTTTAGATATTAAGCATGAACGATCTTTAAGTAAATATCTACAAAGTTTGTTCAAATAAAAGCCCGGGGGTCAAAACTGGCCCTGCCCCAGGGGTGTCATTGTTTTTAACTATATGTGTATAGTAAAAACTTTAAAAATCTTCTTTTAAAAAACCCAATGAGCTAGAACTTAGATGTTTAGCATGAAACATCTTCTTATGGGTGTCTACCAAGTCTGTTCAAATAAACAAATAAAAGCCCTTGGGTAAAAATTGGCCCGGGGAGGGGGGGCCTATATACAGGTGAGCGACCTCAGGGCCATCATGGCCCTCTTGTTTAATGGATGTATTTTATTCTTAAGAATACAATTAGTTAAACTACATTTATATGAGACTAAAAATAATAATTCTAACACTTTTGGAATTTTTTCTATATAAACAAAGAAGGTCCGAAGCGTGCATTATTCTACAACAATGCACTCGCCGTTCTTATTATCACCCCGTGCATTTTCACATTCAGGGCGCCTTTTTGTTAAATAAAAAACAATTTTTTGTCGAATTTTGTTGTGAAAACTATCTAGAATGAAAGAAAATGGTCTAACTAAGAAAATGAATCCGAACACCAATATCTTTAATTCAGTCGTTAACGCTGTACAGACGTTTAAAGTGTTGTTTACGTGACGTCACTATGTAGCACCAAACAGCACATGCAAAACAATCAAATCAAGAAGGCTATTTTAATGTCGCAAACAAGTTTTGTTTTACATTTATTTCACTTTTAATAATTTGTATTTCGCTTGAAAAATTATAGAGTGAAATTAAATTAACAAACAAAGTTTTATCAACGTTTTCAAAATTCGTTATCCTCAAAATGTTTCTACACGTGGTAGATTTAACGACAGTTTTTTTCACCCACTGGAATAGCCTTTAAAGAATGTTTCTATTGGAAACTCTGAGGCGAAAACAAATTTAACCACCAAACATAAAGTCCAACTTTATAATAATAATAATATTTTTTCTTGACGTGTTAGAATGGAAATAGATATTAATTCTTCGTGCATTATTGTATAATATTGCACGTTTTTCGTTCAAATGCTTTGTAATTTATCACTCAGGCCTATCGGGCTTCGTGATTATATTACTACGCATTTGAACTCAAAACGTGCACTATTCTACAACAATGCACTCAGGATTGATATCTATTTCCTAAGTAACATCACATCTAACATTTTATGATGTTTTTAATGAGTGAAATGAATTTTAGATTTGAGAATTTGCTTAAACAGGAAAATGATATGATGAATTTAACAAGTTTTATTGTTTTTAGAAATAATACAATATACACAAAAGTAAATGGTATAAAGCATCTGATATGATTTATAAACTGGTAAAATGATATATGTAATAAAATATTTTATTGTTTTGTTTCAGAAACTTCTAGAAATGAAGAACGGCTGTTGTAATTCTATGTAAAAAGAAAAAAAATAAAGAGAAAAAAATCATGAATATTATTGCTTATCTGTCATGCCATTATGATCGCCATACAAAAACTTTCATGTAGCCCATTTTTCAATCATTTTTGAAAATTATGAACATGAAACTTGGAATATTTGCTTCCATAACAAAGTTGCAGTTGTTAAAGAAGGGGCATTATTCTGAAAGATATCTTTTTAGCTCACCTGAGGACAATGTCCTGAAGGTGAACATTTGTGATCGCCCATCGTCCGTAGGTGCATGCTTCAACAATTTCCTTAAACAACTACTTCTATTAGAACACTTGGCTAAATTGATGAAACTTTGCAGGGATGTTCCTTGCATGAAGCTCTACGAAGTTCTTCAAAGAATTAAATTCCATTAAGGAACTCTTGTTGCCATGGCAACCAAAAGTATATTTTACAAAAAAAATCTTTGTAAAAACACGAGAGTTAATGCTTAGATATTTGGCATGAAACATAAAAACTAGTGGGTGTTTACCAAGTTTGTTAAAAAAAAAGTCATAGGGTCAAAATTGCCCCCCACCCCAGGGGTCATTTGAATTCCCTTGCATGTATATAGTAAAAATCTTATTGACATTGTGAAAATCCAAAAAAAAAGGTAGAGCTTAGATATTTGGCATGAAACATCTAATGGATTTCTACCATGTTGTTCAAATAAAACCCCTAGGGTCAAAATTGACCCCCTGCCCCCAGGGGGTCATTGATTTACCTTTTTTGTATATAGTAAAAACTTAAAGAATCGTCTTGTGACAACCCAAAAGCAGTTTAGATTAGATATTTGGCATGAAATATCTTCTAGTGGATGTCTACCAAGTTTTTTCAAATAAATACCCTTGGCCCGGCAGCAGGGGTCATTGATTTTCCTTATATGTATATAGTGAAAACTTAAAAAATCTTTTGTGAAAATCCAAAAGAAGGTAGAGCTTAGATATTTGGAGTGAAACATGTTCTTGTTGATGTCTACCAGGTTTGTTCAAATAAAACCCCTAAGGTCAAAAATTGACCTTGCCCCAGGGAGTCATTGATTTTATATAGTAATTAACTGTGAAAAATCCAAAAAAAGGTAGAGCTTAGATATTTTTGCATGAAACATGTTCTAGTGTTATGTCTACCATGTTTATTAAAATAAAACCCCTAGGGTCAAAAATTTGGCCCCGCCCCAGGGGGATCGATGTCGACAGTCCCAATCCCCAACAAGGTCAAATTATTGTTTTCCTCTCTTTTTCTGTCATTTTTTATTAGCTCACCTCTCTCTTAGTGACATTCGTACTGTTTAAATAAAATGGCTGCCAGAAGCTAAAATTAAAAAACAACGACATGTTTAAACCCCAAAATCCCCCACTGGTTCAATTTTGAAATAAATTTTACACCAACAATTTTCTTGGTTTACATTGTACAAAAAATTGTTTAGATTTAAAGCTGTTTCTTTGTTTTCAAAAATTGGTGCTTCTGGGGGTGAAAAGGGGCTTGACTTTGAAACCGTTTGACCTATTTTCTCAGCGTTGAAGCGATCCAGGGGCTCCTCTGGGGGCCCTCTTGTTTTCATTGCCCTTTTACAGCATGAGTGTTAACACATATTGCGGTGATCTTTTTTATGAAATTACAAGAAGAATGGGGATCGTCAAGCCCATTTGCAGAAAAAATGCGGATTAGCTACAAGGAGGATATTGTCATTCAGCCTATTTTCATCTACAATTTGGGGGCCTTTCAGAAAAAAATGTTTGCACAGAACTTTTATTCATTGGCGTAAACATTCAGTCTGATCCAGTTATACATGGAGAGTTGCGGCCCTCTTGAATTACATGAGCTAAAGGGGTAATTTCCTTTTGTTGTATTTGAAAATTGAACCATTGTTGTGCCGCCTCTAGAGTAGTGGGACCCATATAGGGCGTTACATGTTTCGTCGTCTGTCCATCACAAAACCCTTGTCCGGACTACTCGGAAACTACTAAGTGCAATTTTCATTTAAACTAATACAGGAAATGAGAATTACATGTACCAAGGTTCTAGTTGTGTTTAGCTGGCAATTTTCGGTTGATTTGGAATAAAACTGGTCTTTTATACCCACTAAAGAAATTTCAATGAAACTTTACAGGATTGATTGACAGCTCAAATACTTGCACGTATTACATGAGTTTTTTCCCTGGTTGAAGGATTTTGGCCGGGGTTTATGGCTCCCTTGAATAAAAACCCGTTTTGCCATGGAAATGATTTTTTTTGTCTTGCCCGTTTGCTGCAAAAATGCATTTTTTCTATCACCCGGCGGGCACATGATCCCCGATTGGGTCTTTTTGACGGGTAGTTGTTTCTTTATGAAAGTATCTTTTGGGTTTTAACAGCCCTAATTATTTTTGTCTCCCTAAAAACAAAAAAAAACATGTATTAAATTTTAGCCCTTTTCTTTTAATGTAAGGGGTTGTGGAAAAATTTGCCCTGAATTGGGTTTAAAAAATAAAATTGAATGTTTTTCCAAAAAAATTGCCAAACAAGCCATTTATGGTGGTTTTGACAAAAAAAAGTATGCACATAAAATTTACTAAAATCTTTTTTGATTCGAAAGCCATTCTCGGAAAAAAATTTTCCCAAAACCTAAGATATTTTGATTTTTTTATTTTTGGTTTTAGGGTTTTCGAAGTTTTTCCTGGTTAAAATATTGATCATTAAAGTATTTTTAAACTGTTTAGGTATTTGATTTCATGTGTAAAGCACATGGTCAAATGTCTTCTTAAAAGTACCGAAAAAATAACAATTCTTGATCTTGAGCGAACAAAGCACAAACAGTCTTCAGGTTTTTTAAAGTCCAAGAACTTCCAATAAGGCTATTGGGAATCGGAACAAGCATTTTACGCTCGTATTATACATGTATGCATAAATCCTATTTATTAAAGCCATTTAAATGGGTTTTAACAAGAATGGAGAGCATTGCAAGGGAAATCCGTAGTAACTACTGCAAATTTAACTCTTGTATTAATTATTCATTTGAACAATCAATCGTTCGAAAATGTTTTTGTCCACTTTTTAAAAAAAATAGCAGAAATTGAAAGAATTAGGAAGTTTTGGACGCAAAAACGTTGCTTCTTGTTTTAATGTTTTAAGGCCTTTTAAAATTTAATTTTTTTGCAACAAGGTGAAAATTTGGAGTTCTGCCCTTAATGAGTCGAGTTGCAAAAGAAAGACGAGGGACAGGAATTATGCCATCAATGATTATTTGCTGTGAATACGTTACGAACCTTCAGGTTCGAAATTTTAATTACATTGTTACATTTAAATAAGATTTATTAATTAATAACTTACTGTTACGACAGATATATTGGACTTGATATAAGTCTTCAATTTAAGCTATAAGGACTATTAAATCATCCTTTGCGAACTTTTTATTCCCAAAGGGAGAGTCAAAGCAGATGGCAATATAACATATTTTGACACAAAGCCATTGTTTATTGTTAGAGGAAACATTGTTTCGATTTATATATCGAAGTGAAAAATATTGAAAATTTCTCTTATATTGAAAGTCGCGACCTTTAGATATTTCTAATTGAAAATAAAATATTTTGCGGCTTAAATCTATCAGTTGCAACGTACTGGACATCTATTTTAAACCCAAACATTAATTGAGTGGTGGCACGATGGTCGAAATTGTATCCCAAATGCGTTGAGTTTGTATTCTATTCTAAGGACTGCTGCGTTGGTTCAAACCCCGCCAAGGGGGGCAAGCCGTTTTTTTTTTGCGCGAGCAAGACACCTTACACTTATTGCTTAGTACTGGTTGGTTCCTGGAACGGATTCGAGTGTTTCAATAAACTTATAGCTTCCAACACAATCGAACTAAAATAAATTAGTATAAACGATAATAAAGTTACATGAAATGACAATACAGTCTAACCTGCCTATAGTGGTCAGCAAGGGAATGAGCTAAAAATGACCGCTACAGACAGGCGATCACTGTATCCAGGTTGACATTTATTGTAATATGTTGTGAAAACATTTGGCTCTATATGGATGTATTCCGTTAAAATAAACTAATTTTTATTACAAAGGCAAATTCATATTACAATATGCGGCGTGCACGATAAAGTTAAACTGTAACTTACATTAAAACAGAGTTCTTGTGTGTGTGTTGTTCTTGTATTTTTGGGTGGCAGTTTTGATTGAAATAACGTGTTGTCTTGGACATAGCATGACGTACTTGGTAAAAGACGGTAAAGTCAATTTGATGACGATACCGCAATATCTCGCTCGAAAAATAATAACGTATCTCATAATGCAAAAAAAAAAAAACAGAAAAAAAGGAGGAAACAAACAAACAAAACGCACTTTTTCAGTTAAAGTTCAAATTACTACAACAATATCAATTAGTGCAAACAAATGTACTAATTTATATGAATTCAGTAATCTGTGGTGTACTGTAAGCTATCACATATTTTTATTTTAAACTATAGCACACATTTAGATTAATTTCGATGGTCCCTTAAATTTGTGTTACAGCAACGGCTCATTGAAATTAGGGGAGCACTATTGCAATTAAAGTGTATAACGCTATACAGCAGTAGAGTTGCTGTCTTTGCTCTGTGTGTGTTCATATTGTGATTACAATAATTACAGAATAACTAGAATGAAAGAAATGTCACTATAATTTATTAAAAGCGAGTAGGACATGCGTTAAATCATTGTCAAACCTACTAAACTAGCTGCGGAATATTTTGTCCATAACATTTTATTCTGTTACACTAATCTATACAACCAATTTCAGTAACTTTTTTTTACTTATACACAACATGAGGATTTTGTTTATATCTATATTAGTTTCCAGTATAACAAATAGGTATATATTAAATAAAGTATACTATAAATATATATATATCCATTTGTGGGGAACTGTCAATTATAGGCTTTGCCTCTTTTCACAAAGAGCAAATACATAAAAGTATATTAATTGCATAACATTACTGGTGATGGAGCAAATACTACAGAACACATATGATGTACAGTTGCGTTGCGTTTGACCTCGCA